TTAAATAGTCTAACTAGAGTAAAATTAACATAATATAAAACTAATCTTTTTACATCTTAATAACTAATAAAACTTTTGGACATTAAGGCCACACATTACATACGGAATTCCGAAACGGAACAAACGAACGAACTTTTGTCCGCAAAATTTAGAAAGGAAAACTACCGTAGGTGTGTGACGGGACCTTGATTTTATATGGACATGCTGTGTTCGGAACCCCGAATCGGAATTCTGAAACGGAATCCCGAAAGGGAATTCCGTATATGTATGTGGCGTGGCGGGTCTTAGGCCCGCCAAACACTACAGATATATACAGAATGAACGCCATACGAACAACATACGGAATCTCGTTTTGGCCGCAAAATTTCGAACGGAAAACTAGCGTAGGTTTGTGACGGGTCATTAATTTTATAAGGAGTTCCTGCGTTCGGAATCTCAAAACGGAATTCCGTATGTATGTAGCGGTCCTTTGGCTCGCTCGTTTTTTTTTTAATGTAAAATTTTATGAATTTAATCAAAAAAAAATTTAGTTTTAAAAGTTTTAGCTAATCTAAAACTAAGAAACCTCTAGCGTATTACATCGATCTAATCAACAGGGGACAGTCCGTTTTTTTACACTGTTTGTAAGTTCTGAATGCTCTCAAAAACAAACAATGAGGTAAAGAAAAGATCGCGAAGCACCTAGCAAAGCCCCAAGTTATAATATTTTGCTTGTATTACCTACTTGCTATTGCAAAATGAATATTGTGAATGTGCCAAATAAATACCTCAACCTATCTTTTTTTTTAAAGAACCAGCTGCAGTACAGGATTAAGCAAGCGCGGGGCCTATAGCAAATTCTATCGAGGTGCCCTTCATCTACTATGGATGCTTAAGTATAAAGCGGTTAAATCAATTAAATAATCAATACGTTTATTTACCATCTATAGATTACAATTTTGTTGGTGTTTAGTAATACAATACTATAGGCCCTGTTAGATTCTGACGGGTACAAAGAGTCAGAAATAAGATTGTCCTTTCAATTGAGAATAATTTTTATAAATAATTATTAATTTAAAACTGACAATACTACACAAATAACCATTTTACTTTCGAACTTTTCAAGTTATTTCTAAGTTTATACTTATTACAAAGTATACTATATTTTAAGGAATAGCTAATTTTATATTTTATCAATGGTGTACTGAAATCGAGGAGGTATGACCAAGGATTTCTTTTTGAAGATTTGTGTCTTTTGAGGGTAGAACTGGGCTAGATTTAGTCGCCCCCAATCTGAGACTTTGTTTAACAAAGGCTCGACTTCAGACACAAATTTGTTCCGGCACTCGACGACGTGTTCCCGAGAAATATTATCACGGCCGGCGTCGGCGTATGTCGTCTGCATAACAATGAATGTTACTAGTATGCAACATATAATTAATATGCAGAAGGAAAGGGATAGCATTCACAGGGTTGTAGTCGAAGCATGCACAGGCGACTGCGACCTTAACCTGTAAGAAAAATGATGACCAATTGCATAATTCTTCGGGAAACCCATAAAAGGGAAGCTTTAAAATAAGCCAAGCCCGATAAAGTACTTCGCTCTGTCCAAACTAACCGCCAAGGCCTCTTGGTCTCAACTGCCTCCGCCCATCGGTGAGTCAGTTAGATAAGAAGATCGCCAGCTAAGTGACCTCGACAGTCCACCGTAGTGGCAGTCACACATTAGCTGATGCTCTTCAAGGTACGGCATGAGTCGGCAGTTAATAATGGATGCCATTATTTTGGAGAACAAGGTGATGGCCATAGGCCTGTAGTTGGACAAGTCTGAGTGGTCACCTTTTTAAGGACCGGGTGCACTAAGGCTGTCTTCTATGAGCCCGGAAAGATGCCTTAAGAGAATCGGAAAAGACACGTAAGAACCGGTGCCAACTTTTGAGCATATGTCTCATTTGCTCAAAAAAAGTCGGAGGATTCCACCAGGCCCACTCGACTTGTTGAAGTCTAAGGACCGGAACGTTGTGCGTACCGAGCGATGTATAAACAGCACATCCTGTATTGAGCACTCACACCACGGGATGGTCGAAAGTATGTTTCCCCTGTCGTCGAGAGTTGAGTTGGATGCAAAAAGAGAACCTAAAAGATCGGTATTCTCCTTTGCGACGTGGGTCTGCGAGTCATATTTCCTGCACAGAGATGATAATGATGGCTTACAGAAATTCCCTTGGGCAGCCTTGACGAAGGATCAGAATGCACGACTTCTCGAAGGAAGGAACTAGTTTCTCGCCAATTCTCCAACTTTGTCCTAGCTATAACTCTTTTGAAGGCGTTGGAGACAGAGTTGTACTTTTTTGAGTGCGCTAATGTTTGCATCCCAGGACACCGATGCGTCAGCTCAGGTCTTGTAGCACTCGACGCAATTTCTCAGGAGAATCTAAATCAAGACTGGGATTCGCTGTCGATAGACGCTATAGATAATGGGATGAAAAGTTCCATCCCCTGAAGCATCACATTGACTACAAACTCAGCTACAATTTAGCGTGAATCAAATACGCTGATCTATAGTACCATACACGGCGACAGCCTCCCAATCGGGCACTGTACTCCAGATCAAACAGTGATCCAAAGAGCCAAGAGGGGCTTTGACGGAGACCTGATAGCCGTCCGGATGAAAGGTCAGCAGAAGGTTCAACAGGGTAAGATCCTGTAAGATCCTTCAGTTGTATAAGACCATATGCCAAGGCAAAGTCGTTAACAGATCTTCCCGTATGATCGGTAGTACGAGAACTAAATCATTCTCGTGATGGGCGTTGAAACTTGTGCGTTTACCGTATGAAACTCTGTGTTTTATTTTCGGTAACGAAATAAACGGTTATCGGTTGGACGATCACGTGGATTGTCTTAGGTGGAGAAGGTGCAACGTTATACGTTTTTGTGACATCAAGTAATTCATTATACAATGTTCATAAGTTTCACTCAAAAAAATTACGTTTAGGCGGTGATGGGCAGGTTTGGATACGCGATGCCCCTTTTTGCGCGGGGCCCGTAGCAATTACTACTCTTGCTACGTGGTTAATCCGGCACAGACCAGCTGGTTATATTATGAAGCCACTAAAAATGCTTCATGACAAGAGACGACTACTTCAAATAATTCGACATTCATAGATCATATTTGCATTTGCATGATGATAACGCCACAATCACAAGCTAAACAGTTTCCTAATCAAATTAGTATAGTTTTTTAGTTTTATGATTTTGTACCACCTAGGTATGAAATTAATCTCTCAGCTCAGGGTTGAGTCTTATTTTTGAAAAATCGAAGATATGTGAAGTCCGGGAAGCGCTTTGTGGTAGTCTGGTAGTGCGGCAGACTCTTCCCTGCTTCAAAAAAAACTTACTCAGTAACTACAAAAGGCCAGTGTTTAGCAGTAGAACGTATGTAGGTGACCTTACTTTATATTTTTAACATTTACTTTAATTATTGAACCACTTTATGAATTAATCTCCTCGGATCCATCAGATGACAACTACATTTATATGTAGTTACTACTATAAGGGAAAATCGCCATATCCTTGAAAGTGGAGGTCTGTTGTGAAATAAACTTAGATTTTATTCTTAACATTTTTAACTGAGGAAAAACAAATGCTATTTGCTTATTTGTCATCTATAGAGAAATATGTTTTAACAAAAAAATGTCGTGTACTAAAAATTACCCTTAACCTTGTCGATATTATGTAAACGCAACGCCCAATGTTAAATACTGATTGCTGTACTGTTTTAAAACCAAATGGTCTATTACATACATTAGATACTATCATATTTAATTCAGGGTATAACAAACTTAAGGCGCAAAATATACTCATCGTTGCAAAAGTTTCAATTGTAAATTATTTTTGTAATAATTTCTATGGATGCACTTTTTTCTTTCTAAGGATTAAACTTTATTTAGTTTCATACTAAAAAAATTGATTCTTTTGTTATTTAGAATTTAAAAAATTAAAAATACCTTAATAGTTATTCATGATCGTAAAGATTTTCCAAAAACTTTACTAAATGTTGGTAGAATATAAACACTGAAGTCTCATGTACTACTCACTATACTACATTAGAATATCTTGCTTATGTATACTTTAAGGTTTTTTTTTTTACTTCAATAGTTCTAAAATTCGGTACAATATATTCTAATAACACCCTTAATAACGGCATCGATGAGTTTGGGATCCACGGACTTTCATGTAAGAAAAGTGCTTACAGGTTTTCCCGTCACGCTCTTTTGAACGATTTTTATAGGTTGACAAACGAGTACATAGTCCACCTAATGGTAAGTGGATACTGTGCCCCATAGACATGTGCATGTATCCTCAATTAAGAATCAAAATGCAAATGCGTTGACACCCCTGAAGACTAAGATCGAAAGCCTCGTTTCCAGCAATAGGTCTCTGGTTCTCTACACTCACCATACGAAACACAGCAGCGTTAAACTGCTACTTTACGCTAGTATTCTGTGAGAGCGCGATCACCCCATTTGTGCTACAACCATAACAAAACTGCAGCGTGGCTCTACCACGTTCAGAAAGAGCGTGGCTCTACCACGATGTTATCCGGAGATCTCTTGTTTCTATAAATGTACCCTCGATTTAGGGGCCTTATAGAATATTTAAAGACGGACGGAAGAAAGGTTCTCGAGTGGCAGCCTCGTACCGGTAGGCGTAGTGTAGGGCGACCCCCCACTAGATGGAGTGACGACCTGGTAAGACATGCAGGAAGTCGATGGATGCAGGTGGCTCAGGACCGTGCTTTGTGGCGTTACTTGGGGGAGGCCTATGTTCAGCAGTGGACTTGTGAAGGGCTGTAATGATGATGATGATGATGAAAAATAAAAGATAAGCAAATCTATCTACTATTAAAATTATTGCGAACCTGTAATATTTATAATTTATAAAATATAAGCTATAATCAACACGATACCTAACACATTTCCCGACACATTTTTTTTATTTTAACCGTTTTATATTTTCAGAGCTATAAATAATTACGCCTACTACCGACTTTTTGGTTACTTGACTGCACTTGTTTTACACGGAGGTAATGGAATAACGATGCTTATCGCGTTGCAAGGCGATATCATAAAGGATCCTGAGCTAGAAACATTCTACTCCTTACAATGGGTGTACATCACCATTTGGAATGTGGTAGGTTAAAATCTATGTATAAGCATTTTAAGCTTCCTTTTAAATCTATATATGCGTAATAAAAATATATGTATGCATGAAAATAAATAAAATTATATTTTCAATGAATTCACTCGACGGACATGTCCACGGGCTGTTTATCCGGGCATGTCTGTCGCCGCACTACACTACATAAACTCAAACTCATCAGTTTGTTTTAGACCGGCTACGTGATTAGTTGTGCGTGCACATTAAGATGACAACCTAGACTTGCAATGCTTATTATTTATTTATTATTAATTTGGTGCAAAGAATGGTATAAAAATAGAAATAAGTTTAGCCATATCAATTTACATAAAGAATGAGAAAATGAACCAGGAGACCTGTACAATTACTTACGCATGGCGCATGGATATAGAGTCGTTTAAACTCTTCCCAGAATATTTTATTATCATTGACACTCATTACAAATTCTCAAAATCAAAATCTCCAAAGTTCGTTAAATAATAATAAAAGGCCTTCTGCACCAGTTGCTGTCGCTCTTGTGTCTGCGAACAGACAGCCCGCAGTTAAAACTCAAGTTCGGGCATGTCTGTGCCCGCGCGGACTAACTGAGTTCGTACGGACATTTAACAGGCAAGTCTGCCAGACCGACTGCGACGGTCCTACACTATCAAACTTTGCACAGACCTATAGTAGCGAAGTAGGCAGGCATTTCTGCAGACATGCCCGTGGGCAAGTTCGTCTAGTGAATTCCCCGTTTTACTCCGCTGGACAAACTAGTAGGAGTGCGCAAGCTCTGAGCTTATGTACCGTGGGCAAAAAATAGTAAGACATTTTAATTTAAATTTCACGCGGAAACCCATTCGTCGATTTTTTTTCTACGTTGGTATGACTGTCAGTGATATCTGAGCCAAATATCATCATTACAGCCCTTCACAAGTCCACTGCTGAACATAGGCCTCCCCCAAGTAATGCCACAAAGCACGGTCCTGAGCCACCTGCATCCATCGACTTCCTGCATATCTTACCAGGTCGTCACTCCAACGGCCGGCCCATTGCCACTTCAGCTTACTAATCCGTTGGGCTATGTCGGTCACTCTGGTTTTACTGCGGATATCCTCATTTCTGAGTCTATAACGCAGAGAAACTCCGAGCATAGCCCTCTCCATAGCTCGCTGAGCGACCTTGAGCGTCCTCATACGGCCAGCAGTGAAGGACCACGTCTCAGATCCGTAAGTCATTACTGGCAACACGCACTGGTGGTACAATCTAGTTTTTAGAGATTGAGGTATACATATAAATATCACATCAAAGTAATCCTTAGTGTTTAATATACGCTTGTCTTTCTGAAGTACAAAAAGTGCATTTGGCGATTTTTACAATGAGTGAAATTTTTTAACAAAGAAGTTCCATTACATTTTGTGTGCGGAATCAAATTTCTGGTGCCGAAACGTTCAGAATGTTGCAAAAGGCATTCGGTAATAATTGTATGTTGCGAGCAAGTGTTTTTGATTGGTAAAAATTATTCAAAGCGGGTCGAGAACGTTTTGACGACGAACCACGTCCAAGATGGCTATCAACATCAACTGATGATCACGTCAATAAAATCAAGGAATTTGTGCTCGAGAATCGACGATTAACAGTCAGAGACCTTACTGATATCGTTGGAATATCGGAAGGATCAGTGAAAACCATTTTAAAAGAGCATTTGGGCCTAAGAAAAGTGAATGCACGATTGGTTCCAAAATCACTCAATTTTCTTGAAAAACAGCGTCGCGTTGACGTCTGTAAAACAATGATTTCCGACTACCAGGATGTCATGAAACGTATTATAACTGGCGATGAGTCTTGGATCTACGCTTACGATCCGGAAACAGACGATCAATCGGCCGAATATCGTGTCAAAGGTGAGCCGAAGCCGAAAAAACCACGTCAAAGCAAGTCAAAAATCAAGGTCATGTTGACAGTTTTCTTCGATCATCGAGGTGTGGTGCACTCCGACTTCCTTCCGACCGGCCAAACTGTCAACAAGGAATACTATTTGAGTGTTATGCGTCGTTTGCGTGAAGCTATTCGTAAAAAAGGCCGGAATTATGGGCCGACAACTCTTGCTTTTTGCACCACGATAATGCACCGTCGCATACTGCATTGATTCTTCGTGAGTTTTTCGCCGAAAATTCAACCAATATCGTTCCACAACCACCGTATTTGCCTGATTTAGCTCCGTGCGATTTCTGGCTGTTCAGCAAACTCAAGCGACTGCTCCGGGGAAACCGTTTTGAGTCAATTGAAAATATTAAGGGTATGTTCCGAAATACAACCCAGTACCCTGGCCAATGCAAATGACGTCATAAATCAACGCCATATTGGTGATTCGTTGTATCGCGTATAGTGGAATACGGCGTCAATTAATGACGTCATTCGCATTCTCCAGTGTACTGGGTTGTATTTCGGAACATACCCTAAACGTGAGTCGCTACGCGCATTGAAGGCTCTTTCGGAAATTGACTTTAACAACTGTTACGAGAATTGGAAAAAACGTTGGCATAAGTGTATTGCGGCGGGGGGGGATTACTTTGAGGGGGACGAAATAGATTTGGCCGAATAAATAAAGAATTTTAAAATTATGAACAAAGTCTTACTACTTTTTGCCCACAGTATTATATCAGTGTAACGTGTACGGAAAAGACATGTGTATATAAATATTTTTTTAAAACCGTGGTAGCTCCCAAAAACTACGGCTAAAATACGTTGCTCGAAGATGGCCTCGACCACGCTGGGCGGGCGGATAAGTGATATCCTGATACTGATTCTTGCTTCAATAATCGATGTGTGAAATTCTAGTCAGCGTTTTTAAAAAAAGGTGATAGAACTAGTTCTTTATTACACAAGGAGTCTGGCTTGATAGATACCACCGTATTATCTATTACTGTCGCCAAATAAAAGTGTTAGCACTGCTATGTTCCTGTCTAAAAGTTATGGAGAGCCATATATATATAGTATGATTCCAGGCTATTAGACATTCCATCTTAGTTTTCAGAGACGATAACACATCTTTAGCCTTCTTTATTTGAAGTTGGCTGCAAGTGTCCATGTACTGCAGTGGCCAGTTACCATTTCATTCAATTTTAATTAAAACTATTACTACATCTAACATATAAAAATTTATATTGGTTTGTTTGTATTTTATACGCTACCATACCGTACATCAGACGGTACCTTGCTTGCGCGCAAAGCGCGACGACGACGTCCCGCGTACCGCACTGACAAATTTATTTGACAGTTATAGATACTTCATTGAATGTATTATCATTCCTAATTCAACAATATAACTCTTCCATATTTAAAAAGGATCTTTCCACAATTATCTCTACTGCGGCAGCAATGCGTCAGATACCAGATTTTTCTTATTCAAAAACATACAATTAGGATGTTTATTTCAGTCCATAAAACTATGACGTTCTTGACTTATACTCTCATACAATTTCTATAAAAAAAGTTTCGCTTAGCCAGCTCATAAAAAGTATTTCAATTAGTATAAGTATCAACTAGCCTTTTGTCTACAGCTACAACACGTTTCTAATTACCTTAAAATTGAGCCCCTTTACCGTTTTAACAGATACCTTATTCAAAAGGTAGTGGAGCTTCATTACCTTTTTAACGACATTTGCAGGAGGCCCGTGTTCTTTATTCGTCTCCCTAATATTTATTTTTCTTATTCTAATATAATTTTTATATATATAAAATTTTTGTTTCAGGCATTTCAAATAATATACTCGTTTCTTGGAATCTTATGTGATTCGCCAACCTCACTCGTGGTTAAGGAAACGACTATCACAAAATACCTAAAATATTATCGTGAAGTGATATTCACTAGTATAATTTTACCTCTCGGTTTTGTGAGTTTTTTTTTGTCTCTAATACATATCTTTAACAAAACTTAACAAAACTTTTCTTATAAGACGATATGGAGCAACGATGATGCTATTATGGCTGTGGAACAAATAGGTCGGCTCGACCAGCCAAAAACACGCTCGCAAGTATTTTAAAAGCCAATTCTTTTTTATAAGAAGTGCTGCAAATATTACTAATATTACCATTAACTACTCAACCTTTGCTAAAATACTTGTGCTTGTGTTCACTCCAGAAGTCGAATAGCGGTTTGAAGCCTTGATTGAAGATATATGTCGTTATCTATAGTCCACAGCATAAACCTTCGATCAGGTAGACTGTGTGATAGTTTGCCTTTGTCACTTTCACTCCAATATCATAAAAACAAACATAAACATAAACACCCAGGCCTGTCACCCAGAGGGGTAGGCAGAGACTACAGACTTCCATTTGGCACGATCCTGACACACCTCTCTCGCCTCCTTCACATCCATATACCTACGCATACATGCTCGTCGGTTAAGGGTACTCCTAATTTGAACCGTTTTCAATAAATCGCCAATTTGGTCGATAAATTTTCGCCAAGACGTCCCTTTCCGACTCTGCCATTCACTTCTGCAACATAAATTTTCTTTGTCACTCTTTCCTCATTCATTCTTTCCACATGACCAATATCATCTATATGTAAAATAGTCTGGCGTACATTTATTAACTCCGTCATTCTCTTGACAATGGGAGGATTGTATCCAGCAGTAGAATGCTTACAGGCTGATACTTCACATTACATAATAACTTATACTATTATGCGTTTCCAGGTGATATTTATCATATTCTGGCCAATTTATATATATGACAGAGAAATGGTATTTCCGGCATTTATTGACAAAGTTCTGAGGCAAGAATCCAACCATATAATGCATACGGCTATACTCCCTATAGTTCTCTGGGAATTCGTTTTCCTACCCAAAACTGAACCTAAATCGCATAAGTGGAATTTAGCTGCTACTTACGGATGCTACATAACTTATTTATATGTGTAAGTACGACTGCTATTATTTTAGTAATTTAAAAATGTGTATTATTATTCCTTGGTTATTTTATCTACCGCCAAGTTTACGGTGGATACATTGTTATGCTCTAGTTTGAAATGTAAGAAAGCTAGTGTAATTATAGGATTTAAGGAGTAGCAGACACGTTAGTAGCTCAAAGGGAGGTAAACCCGGATTCGATCTTCATCGACACCAATGACACTGCTAGTTACAATTTTAAATACTGATTTACGACGTGGTCGGCGATAAAGAAAAGCATCGTCAGAAAGCACGCATGCCTGAGAAATCCGTACTAATATTATAAATGCGAAAGTGTGTTCGTTTGTTTGTTTGTTTGTTTGTCCTTCTTTCACGTCGCAACAGAGCGTCGGCATGGCATGATTTTTTGTATGGGGATAGTTCGGTGGCTGTAGAGTGACATAGGTTACTTTTTTCCGCGGAAAAACATCTCATTCCCGTGGGAAAATAGAATATGTTGCAAAAGTTTGTCCTTCTTTCACGTCGCAACAGAGCGTCGGCATGGCATGAATTTAGGTATGGGGATAGTTCGGTGGCTGTAGAGTAACATAGGCTACTTTTTTCCGCGGAAAAACAGCTCTTTCCCGTGGGAAAATCGAATATGTTGCAAAATTAAATACAGCTAGGTGGCGCCACCGTGATTCTACAAGACGGACGACGGTACGATGGACGAACACAGAAGGTCAGAATATCTGGATTATTTGCCTTTTTACCAAAATTAGGATAAAAAATGTATGGATCTGTATTTTTCCACGCAGGACCGGGAAGAGAGCGATAAAAAACATAAAATTTACCAGCTGATATTTTTCAAACGTTTTGGTGCACTGTAATTCACAGAATAGGCGATAACCTCGCAGACGATATTAAGTAATCCGTTGATGCTCTGCCTACCCCGCAAGGGTTACAGGCGTGATTATAAGTATGGATCAGAAATACTATCACCACCTGTCACGCTTTCACCCTTAACTATTACTTAACTGTAGTAGAAACAGTTCTTAGTAAGCCTTATTAATAATCCTTAGTAATATTTATTGAACGGAAATGAATACAGTTCTTATATGTATGTGGTTATGAATGAATCGGTATTACAATAAGAAAAATTGTGTAAAATTATAAAAAAAATATTTTTGAGAGTTCTTATTAACTAACGTATACATAATTTAAATTGATTCCGCTAGATGTCGTTACTAGGTTTTTAAAACGCGGTAACGAAATGTTTCCTGACATGTACTTAACTCCCGCCGTTGACCCGCGCGTCAACTTATAGTGCATACGGTACCTATACGCTTAAATTGAATCTATTTCGTAGCTTATTCGACTACCTGCTTTCGATTTCGGTTGTTTGTTATTTGCTTTGTGATTTGGTTAAGGTTGAATGGATTTATATTGGCTTTCATTTTCGGATTTGTGTATTTTCTTGGATCGGTTTTGTTGATTTGGTTGGTATTCCTTTATACATATTTAGACTCTGGCTTTGATTTTGGATTTTGTTTATTTAGAATCGTGAATTGGTTTTCGTTGTTTTAAGTTGTTTAACAATATTTCAAAGGAATATTAATAGTATAGATAGTGTATACGGTACCTATACACTTACTTCTTTTTTCGTTGGTTATATTTATATTGACTACTGCTTTCGATTTCGGTTTTCTGCGATTTTTTGTGATTTAGTTTAAGTTGATTCGATTTTTTTTGGCTGTCGTTTTCGGATTCGTGTTGTGTCTTGAATTGGTTTTGTTGTTTTGATTTTAAAAAAATATTTAAAAGGAATATTTATTCCTTTTAGATGAATGAAGCTGAACATCAATCTACTATATGGGCATCTGAAACACCAGAACAGACACAGGCGCGAAGAGATGCAAATGCACAGCTCCAAGCTGAACGTCGACAAAATTTTCAAAGAAACAATTGGTCGGTTTTTAATGACGCAGCATTCAATTATGATCCGTTGATTTATTATAAAATCACAGGTTAGTTGTTATCGGACTGATAGACAAGGCGTGTCGATTTTGCAGCGCTGTAAAATGGAAAGATGAAACCGCAGGCATGTGCTGTTCCAATGGCAAAGTGTCTCTTCCGTTACTTGAGAAACCAGAAGATCCTTTGAAAACTCTCTTTTTGTATGATGCTAATGAGTCACGGCGCTTTTTAAACAGGATCCGGAAATATAACTAATGCCTTCAAATGACGTCCTTCGGAGTTGACCGGGAAATAACAATGCCTGGATTTTCGCCTACATCTACGGTGCAAGGGCAAATTTATCATAGAATAGGTTCACTTTTTCCAGCTGTAAACGAACAACATAAATTTTTACAAGTATATTTTATGGGTGACGAAGAAATTTAGGTAGACCGCCGCTGCCAATTTATTCAGGGAGTTCAGAGAGACACAGTGTTCAAAATTCAAAGATTCTTGCATGAACGTAACATTTTAGTCAAAAGATTTAAAACTTCTTTAGAAAACCTACCTGAAGAGGATTATAAAGTCGTCATTCACGCAGATCGGACCCTTCGAGGAGAGCATGATAGGGGCTACAATGCACCTTTGATAAACGAAATAGCAGCCCTAATTAGTGGTGATCAATTTTCTTCACGAGACATTGTCTTGCGAGCACGTGATGATACGTTGCAACGGGTAGCCGATACACACAAGTTTTATGACGCTCTGCAATACCCATTGATTTATTGCAAAGGACAAGAGGGTTATCATTTTCAAATTCCACCCATTAACCCGGTCACAAAGAATCCTACTCCGAACAAAAAAGTACCATGTATTGATTTTTATGCGTATCATATGATGTTGCGAGAAAATGATTTTAACCTCTTAGCCCATTGTAGACAATTATTTCATCAATTTTTGGTCGACATGTATGTGAAGGTAGAAAGTGAACGTCTCCGTTATATATATTTAAATAAAAAAAGCTGTGCGCTGAGAATTACATACATTTACAAGATGCAGTTTCTAGCGACGCCAATGTAATCCCCAGAGATTTAGGTAAAATCGTAATTCTGCCCTCATTATTCGTTAACAGTCCCCGCTACCTACATGAGTACACACAAGACGCATTCGCCTATGTACGAACTTACGGAAGACCTGATCTTTTTGTTACTTTTACTTGCAATCCCACATGGAAAGAAGTAACCGAGGAGCTAATGCCGGGCCAAAAACGTACTGACAGACACGATTTAGTTGCTAGAGTATTTAGATTAAAAGTACAAAAATTAATGCATGTAATTAACAAAGGGAAAATTTTCGGAGAGGTGCAGTGCTTCATGTATTCAATTGAATGGCAAAAAAGAGGATTACCGCATGCCCACATTTTAATATGGCTTAAAGAGAAGTTGCGGCCCAGCCAAATAGACGACATAATAAGCACCGAGATTCCGGATCCTGAGCAAGATAAAGAATTGAAATAATACTAGTTTTTACGGAATTTATCGCGTATATTTAACTTTTTAATTACCCGACGTTTCGAGAGCTTTACAGCACCCATGGTCACGGGAAGGACTGAGATGTTCAACGTCCAGCTGTCATAGTTAACCGCGGTTACCATAGATTAAAATTTAACTTTTGTTCCGATCTACACAGTATGAACTTATGGTATCATGAAGTCTTGCAGTTGTATGCTTGGGTTGGGATTTAATTTTATTTATTATAGGATCCCAAGCAGATGGTAGCACCCAGCCATCTTCTCTATTGAAATTAGGATGTTTTTTGATTTCAATAGCCTCGCGAATCATCCTTGGAAGGAATCGGTGTTCTTTAGCGAGGATTTGTGGTCTGTCAAATCTGATGTAGTGACGGGGGCGACCCTGTACATGTTCACAGACTGCAGACTTCCCGGAGCGTCGATTCTTCACATCAGCTATATGTTCTTTGACGCGGGTTTTAATGGATCTTTTAGTTTGTCCTATGTAGGAGAGACCACATTCACAATCAAGCTTGTACACTCCTGCATCTTGCAGAGGGACGTTACACTTGACTGATGGTAAAAACTGACCAATCTTCTTCGGCGGCTTGAAGTATGTTTTGATGGAAGCGCGCTTCAAGATGTAGCCAATCTTGTCAGTGACTCCTCTAACATATGGCAGTACGCAGGTACACGCTCGACTGTGGCCGGCTTCACTCGTTCTCTGTGATGTAGGCGCGGGACCCGAAGCTTATTGTCATGCAAAACTTGCTTGACATGTTGGAGCTCGGCAGCCAGGTGTTTACTGTCACAGATCCCTCGTGCTCTCTGAAACAAAGATTTACCCACGGTAGCTAACTGTGAAGGATGGTGGTGAGAATCACCGTTTAAATATCTATCTGTATGGGTCTTTTTTCTATACACAGTATGGCTCAAGGTGTTATCAGGATTCCGAATTACTAACACATCTAGAAAAGCTAAGGAATTGTTTGCCTCTAACTCCATTGTGAACTGAATTTTAGAATTTATAGAGTTAAGATGGTCTAAAAATGCAGTTACTTTATCTAAAGGTAGAATTGTGAAAGTGTCGTCTATGTACCGCTTGTAGAAACTTGGATTTATGGGAGAAGTAAGCAGGGCTTTCTCCTCAAAGTCTTCCATGAATATGTCGGCGACAATGGGAGATACATGTGAGCCCATCGCTCGGGTAATTAAAAAGTTAAATATACGCGATAAATTCCATAAAAACTAGTATTATTTCAATGTGTAGTGTTCGCGTAAATATACTCGTAAGAAATCATTAAGATAAAGAATTGTATGATACCATCGTCCGAAATATGATTCACGGTCCATGTGGAGCACGAAATTCAATATCGCCATGTATGAAAGAAGGAAAATGTACAAAGAAATTCCCTAAACAGCTATTAAAAGAAACATTGAGTGCACAATGACAATGGCTACCCTTTATACAGACGCAGAGCTCCCGAAGATGGTGGCAGGAAAGTTACAATCAAATCTCGCTCTGGAGCGTTCGAAACCTTAGATAATAGCTGGATTGTCCCGTATTCGCCGATGTCGATGGATGCAGGTGGCTCAGGACCGTGCTTTGTGGCATTACTTGGGGGAGGCCTATGTTCAGCAGTGGACTTGTGAAGGGCTGTAATGATGATGATGATGATTCTTTCTTTAAGAAGAGATATTTTAATATTATGCAGATTACAGAACCAGTAATGCTTTTTATATCGACCGTGCCAATATTTCTCGGGGACTCATAGTCAAGTGCCAAAACAAAGTTGTGTCTAAAGTCGAGGGATTGGGAACAACTTAATTTATTCCAGTTGTTTTTCCTATATACATGGTATAAGGCTGACTAATGAGCACACATTCCATGGTATATACATTCATATTGATGGATGGAGTGGATGATACAGCCTATAGACACCTGCATCTATCCCCGATTATCAAAGTGCAGATGCATTGTCAACCCTAAGGTCTCAGATGAATCATCGTCTATGACCAAGTTCTTTCTGATCGGCTAATTCATTGGAGTTGCGAAGAGATATTCTTTCTTTAAGAAGAGATATTTTTTTCTTATCTTTGCATTTCCTGTTTCATTTAGTACGAGAAGTGTCCAGAGAAATTGTTGAGATTAATTTCTGCCGCCAAACTTGATCATCACACATCGCGCCAAAATTCACAATACCCATCACACCACCTGGATACTTAACAAAATTATGGAAAATAAAAATTTTGTCTTAAAACGATTTCAAAAACAAATAATTTTACCTCTGGAAAGAGGACTCATAATTCAGGAGCTTAGCGCTCGCTGTAAATTTCACAGTACACGAGCAACTTTGTTTCGATCCCCGCCGGCACCAAATTAAATTGTTAATTGTAATTTTAAGTGCTGATTAACTGCGTACTCGACGGTTAAGGAAAAAATCGTGAGGAAACCTGCATGTCTGAGAATTTAAAAAAAATTTAAAGACATGTTGTGAAGTCTCCCAACAAGCATCGGGGCAGCGCGCGGACAGTTCCTTGTAGAAAACCTTCTCAGAAGCACACAATAAATAATAGTACAGTCAGAAGTGAGATTAAGCCTGTGCCCAGCAGTGGGGCGTATATAGGCTGTAGCTTTAACATGAGTAAATATGACAGATTCTGGTTGCAAGACGTAACTCAATACTAACTCACTTCAATAAGGAAGGAATATCAAAAGCCATCCATATTAAAAATATCTCTCAAAAACGTTGTGAGTTTCGTACAAACGTAAACGCGACAAAATCCGTAAAAAATAGTCTTATTCTTCTAGCCTGGGTGTTCCTTTCAGAAAAAAACATCTAGATTTTCCCCTGCTCGTGGCCTGTAATAGGCACTTGTCGATAAAATATCATACATACTCATTGTTTATTATCATAGAGCACGTGTTGCTCTATGTTTATTATGAATTCCTTGTTTACCTAGAAATATGTTTTCTTTACAGATTATTCTCAACATTCGCCCGCCGTGGTATATGGCCTTATCCCATTTTAAAAATTTGTTACGGGTCCATATACTTCCCAACGATTTTCATAGTTATCACCATAATGTTGTATTTATTATACTATGGTCAATGGCGTGTTAACGCACTACTGTGGGGGACTAATGTTACGTCAAAAGAGAAAATTTGTTAAGAATATTTAGTGTGACTTAAATTAAATTATTAAGAAAAGAAAATCTGATGATTTTATTTCCCAAATTAAACAGACCATTATTACAGCACTGAATAAATTCTATGAAGGTAAATAATTTTAATGAATAATAGAATTTAAATTTTAATGTTATTGTAAATGTTTGTACGCCTTAACAGATAAGCAATTTCTTACTGTAAATAGTTCCAAAACTCCGGATATGTTACAATAGTGAAGGTGACATTTTAAAAAAACTAATTTTTGTCGTATTTTTATGCTGTCATCTTATAACAAATGTTTGAGCTGTGACCGGTGAAAAATTGATCAGAAACAAAAGTTATAAAATTTAGGTTTTTGTATGGCAAGGGTGATAAACTGGCTCACAGTCCATCGGATATTTGTAATAGAATAAGGGTGACAAACGAGCACACAGTTCACCTGATGGTAAGATAATGCTGTGGCTCATTGAGATCTACATTTATCCTCGATTAAAAACCAAAATTCAGGTTGGTTGTCTCCCCTGAGGACTAAGATGGAATGTCCCGTTTGTAGCGAAAAGGGTCCCCCGTTCTACACTTACCATACGAAACATAACAAACTGCATTAACGCTACTTTACGCTGGTATTCTAACCCGCTCAAGCCGATCCATTCGTACTACAATCATAAAATAAGGTGGCTTTTACGCAAGAAGTATACATAATTACACTTAGACCATTGGATATGTATAACTAAAATGACTAATACTGTAATTTATACGATTTATTCTCTTTTTCCTGACCCAATATGTTATTTTCCGAAAAACAATAGCGAAATTTAGAGTGGCAAACTATGATAACTGCTTCTCTAACTTTCGCTTGATATCAAAATGTAAAATTTTAAGTTGAGCGTAGACCAAATATTTGATTATAATTTTAAAAAGCCGTTGAAATTGTAAATTTCGGTCATGCAGGTCAAGATTATAATACAAGAGTGTCTGCGTAAACATAAGCGTATTCTGGTAGTATCTGTAAATGGTTTCCATACGTGGTAGAGCCACGCTGCAGCTATATTATGGTTGTAGCACGAGTGAGGCAAGGTAAGGACCACGTCCTTCCCCGGTCGAGCGATCTCTCACAGAATACCAGCTTAAAATAGTTGCTTAATACTGATGTATTTCGTATGGTGAGTGTAGAGATCAGGAGACCCTTTTTACTGGAAATGAGGTATTTTATCTTAGTTATCAGGGGTGACAGCGCGTCTGCGTTTTGATTCTTAATCGAGGATAAATAAAGATGTCTATGGGCGACAGCATCCACTTATCATCAGGTGGACTGTGTGCCCGTTTGCCACCCTACTATAAAAAATAACCGTGAAAATACAAAAATAGTTAAGAGCATACTAAGACTTGTTTATTAAATAAAATGTGGCACCTGCGACCTTTAACTAGGGAACCACTAAGCTGAACAGATGTGATCATCTTTCTTTAAGGGTACATGTGTCCGTAGACTGCAGTAGCCGCGTACCAGTAATTTTTGTCGTTTCAGTTTTATAAAAAAAGGCATGTTAATCATAGTTGCATAATTAATCAACAGCTGTTGCTCATTAATATTGAACAAAGACCCTAGCAGTGAACTACACTATAGCAACAGCGGCGATCACAATAGTAGTTGCAGTAATACTGGCTTTTAACACTCGCATACAATAAAAAACAAAAAAGGACGAGAAATGAAACAAGATCCCTTGCAAGTGATTCGAGAATAATAATAAAAACAATAACATTTATTTTCTATTGGTTCTCAAACTCCATTTTTATCTACTTTTAGGTACAATGTTTTGTATTGAGTTCTCAAATCAACAAAGCTAATGTAGGTACAGGTTGATCGAAAAAGTTATCAGTTTTAGAAAACCGAATTGCAAAAAAAATGTTGCGGGTTCTCTTATCTTTCGACCAACGTGCACATACTAAATATGTATTTATATATTCTGATTTTTTTACATATATATAAGTTTTATATTTTGATTTTTAATATGCTTAGATAATGTGTAAAAATACGTAATATTCAGTTAACAAATCAATATTTTTTGTAATATAAAATAATTATCTCATAGAAAAACAAGAAGTACAAAATTTACTATTCCATAATGATCGAAACACCCGTACAATTGGTATTATTTAAGTATATAATAGAAGCTCCTTTAGAATAACCGATATAAAAAGTAACAAATGAAACAAATTACCTTCTATGTAAAACCACACAAAAACACGAACTTATTAACCATTATTCCCGCAATTATCATTCTTGCCTTTATACCAAATTGTTTACATTACACTCTATTATTTAGTGTCCAATGCTCTAATGTTTTAGTGAAAATTTAGCAAAACATAGTATAAAAGTTTTAGAAATATCTACTAAATCTACTCAGCAATTAAACGTTTACCCTATGCCTATCACTATCGCTCTAACATCTCTTATTCGCTTGCGAAAAAGAGATACGGCGTCTTACATCATTCTTCAATTTTCTGCACCAGTCACCAAGTCTACGAGTTCTCAAGACGAAGTATATAGAATGGACACAATTTCGTTATAATAACACACATTATGTATGTTAACAACATACATGTTGGTTTATGAAAAGATTTCCGTTATTTATTTTTTTCAAAAATTCGAAAATAAATTCGAGAAAAGTGGGAACAACCTGTATCTAAATCCAATATGCGTGATATTAACTACGCGTAGATGTTTTTACAGCGGTAGAATATAATTTTATATTACTTGATTTTAATGTATATTTTTTCTTTTGTTTTTTAGATTTTGACAAGGTTGTGTGTTCCATTTTATGATTAGACGGTTATTTTTTTATTGTTTAGGCAAAAGCTTAAACGGTTTCAGCCGATTTTTCAGTCTTAGTGCTTTAAATTGTACCGTGCTCTAAAACAATACTTGAATAGGAAATGTCCGTTTTTGTATGAAAATTCTCGTCATTAAATTTAAGGTCACGGTCAAAACATACATTTAGATAATTTTCATATTATCCTTTTAAGTTACAAATGAATCAGTCTCTATTTTCATTAAAATAAATCGGACATTGCTCATTGGTATGCCGAAATCATTGTACTGATTGTATTAAGTAATCTAATTACAAGCGACCAATTATTACACAATTTTAAAATTAAACACAAATTTAAACGTTCCAAATATACTTTGTAACACGTGACGTCACTATAATGCGATAGTTATGGCTGCGTAAGTAATTTATGGATTAAATATTCAACGGCTTTCTATCGACTATAATCATATATATTAATATTAACCAAAAATATTGGAAATATATATTTTATGTAACAGTGTGTACTTTAAAGTAATATTTGAACCACCCGTATAATTTTGGTAAACTCTATATAATATTCTCACTATATATGTATAATAACATCTATGTTAATTGAAATTAAAAAAAAACTGTGTATGTGATTATGAGACTGTCAAATTGAAATAAAATATAAAAACTAAAAGCTTAAAAATGGCATAAAAATGAAACAAAAAGAACATAGACAATAACAGATTGCTTTATTTAACAAAAAATATATAATATATAGAAAAGAAAAAACAACATTTTACACGTGACTTTTCAAGACTTACATCTTTCATCTCAAGTGGAAAATTTGTTTTTATTTTGTAATAGAATGTAAAATTAAAATAACCCATCGAACCTTATAATAATATTTAATATAAAATACATATGAATATTAGCTATTTACAAAATACGAGTTAAGATTTATACTTTTTAACACTATTATAAACCAGTCTATAGTAAAGGCTATTCGACAAAACTTAGCATAATTGTTAGAAAATTGATGGTTATCCATAATTCTAAAAACCTAGCAGGCAATTTGGATGCATCAAAAAAACAAATACTAAGAAAATGTAAAATAAACGTTCAGCAATAATAAAAAATAATAAGCGACATAAAGGAATAACAAATTACATTGTATATGTAAATAAAATGTACTTTACGGTTCATATATATAATATCGTTATTATTATGCGTCGACTTTATTTTTATTATGCAGTATAAAACAATCCGAACATGGCACCCAAGCGAAGAAAAGTGCAAAAACAATGAGATCAAATTTTACTATATAAAGATATAAAATTGTAAATTGCCTGCTATGAAAACATATAAATCGCATTTTGTCTATACAAAATGACATATTATACCCATTCCGGTTTTGAGTGCCAAAAATGAAAGCGTTCATTTTACAAATAATTTGAGAAAAAACGAACATCGATTGTATAAATTACGATAATTCGAAATAAAATTGCGATACAGTAAAAATATCAATATATAAAAATCGTGCGCTACAAATTAATTTTAATTTGAAAAATGAACACATGAAAAACGCTGGTGGTATACTTATGATGATATATTATGTTCACCGCAACTTCATTAAACACAAAAGTGAACCTAAAGTGGAAGGCAAATACATGATACATCGTATAAATCGATTTGAACTCAAGGCACACAATAACGGAATGGTTCCTTTAGACTGTAATTTTGTTCAATAAACTGCACATCAATACGTTATGATGCAACTTACTTTAATTTAAATTACGTAATTAAACTTTTCAATATTTTTCCATTGCTTCATTTAACGTGTTCGACTCATTTGTTTCATTAAAGGAAGCTTAAGAAAAAATACAAAATAATGGGCAGTATTCAGTATACCTAACATAATCGACATTCTACACTGAAAGGATAAAAAAACATCAATATTAATAATCATTTGAAATAAATAACAAGTTACAATTCTCTTTAAAATAACTAATAAAATAATTAAAAAACCTATCAATAAAATGTCTCGCTTATAAGAAACTGTTGTGTGATCTTTAAACCTGTCTACATCTTTATAACTTTTATTTATTCCTTAATAAAAACTCTATTTCTATTATTATATCTTTATATATAATTATTATTTCTTCATTCAAAGTTAGATACACTTTACGTCAATTATAATATAACCCATCTATACAATACGTAATATAACATACATAGTATAATATGTTACATTATATATTGACATAGAGGCCACACGTTCAGGTTTCACGCGTTCCCGTTACTCTGCATAAGTCTCGCGAACATATAAACCCATAATATTTATCCATACATTATGACATTAAATGTAAATTATAAACTGAAGACATCCGCTCGTCCCTAGATTCGAATTAAATAAACATTTATATATTAATATTGTACGTACGTACCTATACGTAAATATCATATAATAACAGTCTCAAAGTACATACATACAATTATAAATAGGTTAACAAACGACGCGCGGATGTCTTCAGTTCCAGCTACGGGGAAAGGGGAAACTAAACGAAACATAGCTGTCAAGTCTTGATAAGTGAAATCCCGAGCCCGCCTCACTGCTGCCAGCATCCTGCTTTCGTAGGCAAAAATGAGATCGAACTAGTCGCGAATCGCCATGCCGCGACCGACCTAACCGTGTGTATAGTCCAGGACGCTGTCTAAAGAGAAGAGTTCCTTATAGAGCGCCGGGAACACGTGGTGCGGGTGGGCCGCTTTGAAACGGCATAGCGCCTCCAAATGCATTAGCGAAAGTTCTCTGTAAACAAAAAGAATATAACCGTACTATAACCGAAAGTATTACAAATGATTTACCAACATTTTCATGACCAAGAAGTCAATTATCATTTCTTGTTATTCTCATCTCTTCATCTCAAGAATATGCTGGCAGGCATTTCTTCAAAGCTAATTAGTTAAAATTAAAATTATCTCTCAATCTCTCGCTATGGGGGAAGGGAGTATATTGCCATAGTTGCCACGCTTGGCGAGCGGGTTGCGAACCGCAGTTTTTTATTGTTATTTCGCTGTTATAAGAAAGTTGCTCCTCTTACGACACCCACGTGAAGATATGAGGTAATGGATATTCTTACACCACAACTTACGGGCTTTGTGGCATTATATAGGGGAGGCCTATGTTCAGCAGTAGACTTGTGAAGGGTTCTAATGATGAAAATTACAGCTTATACGTCCTGTATCATTTCTAAGTATGTTAAGAATTAGTACGAGCGCTGCCTTTTTTGTGAACTTCACATTGTCCACGAAATATTTTTACTCCTTAGATATACAAATGTCTGCATTAAAAACTTATGAGTAGTAAATCAGCACTTAAAATTGCAAGTAACAACTTCATTGGTGCCGACGAGAATCGAACCCGGGATGCTCGAATGTTGTAACATTGACCCTGAGCTACCAGGGCACTTCTTAGAATATTCACTACGTTGGATAAGCGGGATGATGAGTGATGAGCAAAAACCCTTACAGTAATAATGATGCTCTCCATAAGCAATTTATGAGATTTAGAGTCAGAATTCATGAATGAATTTTACGCTATCAGTTGGTTGTCAGAGAGAGGCCCGTAGATCAGCAGAATGTACCGCGTAAAGGTGAGGTTAATATTGGTAGATAGATATGTATTTTAGTATGAAAACTAACATTTAGTAATCTAGGGCTCTGAAGACTTATACACGCGGACATTATATGCTATAACATTTGATTATATGCATATAAAACCACACCTCGAAATCTAAATTTGAACAGTTTATCGTAAGAGAAAAATAGGTTGAGTTCTCAAAAAAGCACAGTGATATTTCAAAAATATAATCAGCTTCAATTTCCCTTTAGTATCTCAACGCGTGATAGTAAAGTTAAATCGAAAATAATGCGCTTGTGCTTAACGAAACAAGTAGTTTGAGTTATGATAAATAATGCGTATTAATTGACTTCGACTACATCGATGATGTTCTTATTTTATTTATATTGAAGTCGGTTGTATATTTTTTTTATTTTACCACTTTTTTGTTATTTCCAGTTGTAATGTGAAAATTTTTACGATATTTATACATCGTATTGTTTTATTCATTTTTAAATAGTAAACAAAACAACAGAAGACTTGCCGATTTTATACTTGCAAGATTTTATACTCGAAAATGAGGGACGTGTTAAGGGAGGCATTTTTGAATCTAGTGTTCCGGGGCGCCAGAAGTCCATGCGAAGCCACTGGTTTGAAGAAATAAAAGGCGAATCTCCTACAACGCATACGTTGAATAGCAGATTGGCTGATTACCAGGCATTGGGTGTTTATAATTTTTACAAAGATAAATTAATTTCATTGCATGAAAGATCTTTACAAAAACATCACGTACCTGAAGGTGGGTATCTTAGTGAGCAGCGTGTCTAACACAGTAACATCACCCTTGAGAGGCGCATGGTTTGTTTCTATCTCGTGTCGCATCGCCGCCATCGACATGTTGAACAAGCACTGGATCTCCGGATTACCACGCACGCCATGTCGTTCTGGATATATTTTTAAAAAATATATAATTAACGTGAACATTTACATTTACTAACAGAATATGATTACATTTACAACTGTACGATACATGTACATTTGTAAATGTAATCACATTATATTAATAAATGTAATTATGATCATCACCCCTTTTAATTACAACGCTGGAGTTTGATGATGCTACGCTGGGCAGAAATGTTGGTGAACGTAGACCACATACCTAAAGCCCTATGCCTGATGGTGCTGCTCCTATATCACCAATACTGGGATTCAGCATTTTTGTGTGGACTTTTCGTCAGCTGGCTTCACCGCGTGTAGGAGAGATTTATAGATAGAAAAGGAAACATATCTCCCCCCTCACACCCTAGCGCTTACCTACCACTTTAAATGAAGTATATAAAAAGTTGCAATAAATGTATACGTTTCTGATTTATGGAAACGAACACATTTTTTATGTGGTAGAGCCATATTAGTTGTAGTACGAACGGGCCGGCTCGAGCGGGTAAGGACCACGTTCTCACAGAATACCAGCGTAAAGTATCAGCATAACACTGCTGTATTCCTATAATGAGTGTAGAGAACCGGAGACCCATTTTACTGGAAACGTGGCATTTCATCTTAGTTCTCACGGGTGATAACACATCTGCATTTTGATTCGCAATCGAGAATAGATGTAGATATCTATGGGCCACAACAACCACTTACCATCAGTTGGACCGTGTGCTCGTTTATTAACCTTATTGTATAAAAAACACAGGTTTCTTATTTATGGAATTTCACAAGAGTTGTCCATCATAATATTTTTATATGTTAGTTACTTGTTAACATAAGTACATGAAATATTTTGTAAAAATAAGGATAATTAATAAATTATTCCACTAGTTACTACCAATATTTTGTTGTATTAGAGTACGTCACTAATTTTTATTTGTGTATCTTTTTTTGTAAGATGTAAAAAGGAAATGAGCGCTGGTGAGCGTGCAATCCAAGTTAACCGAGTTCAATCTCCAACGGCACCAATAAAATGTTCTATACAGTTTCGTGTTATATCATGGTAAATTTAATTTGTAAAAACTATTAATTTAATGCTATGCTATCTACAACTATTTAAATAATACATATGGTCATACAATACTCACCTGGCCACAGTAGCACAAGGCTCTGGTACAGAGCCAGTTCAGTCTCAGTCAACTTGAGTCGAGCGATGGTCTTCGCCGCGTCAAAAATACCCACAACTAGAGCCATATCCCGAGGATCACTGGAATGTTAACACATACGACCTTTCTTATAATCGTTCATTGTTGCTTACTTAAATGTATTCATTATCTCTTTACCTGTCTCTTTCCATTGTCATTCAATAAGAAAAGAGAGAAAGAAACTTTATCTCACGACACCCTCGAACCGACGTGGAGTACAGGATTTTTTTCCGCAGCTACTAGATCGTGAGTGAGTAAGTGACGTGAAATTTCAGGTGAGATAATGAATTATGTATAAAATATAAAGATATTTTAGTTAATACAAATGTGAATGTATCTTACCGAGCGTGCACGCACTCTCGTATCGGCAACACAACGTCGCCGTACAACACTTGCTCACGGTTAACGTCGATCAGCCGCGACAGACGCACTATTGCTAATTCGAACGAACCTGCAAAAAACATACTCCTAATAAATTATAGGAACTACCAATTGTGTAAGTCGCATATTCAGAAAACACTGTGTCAAGTTCGCTATTTTATAAGTGGTTGAGCCACGCCAATATTATGATTGTAGCGCGAATGTGTCGGTTCGACAGGGGCAACGCTCTCATAGAATACCAGTGTAAAATAGCAGCTTGATGCTGCTGTATTTAGTATGGTGAGTGTAGAAAACCCGAGACCCTTTTTACTGAAAACAAGGCATTCTATCTTAGTCCGAATCGTTAAGAATCAAAATGTAGGTACGTCGCCACCCCTGAGTGGCAACGTATCTGCATTTTGATTCTTAATCGAGGATAGATCGAGGTAGACTGTGTGCTCGTTTGTCACCCTTAAAAAAAGTTATAGTTAATAAAATATAAAGCATCAGTATAATGGTTGGCTCGACAGAGAAAGGACCATTCCCTTATAAAATACCGGCGGAAAATGGTAGCTTGTCTACATTTTGATACTTTATCCACAATGGATTTAGTTAGGTGTATATGGGCCATATACACTTACCTATGGGTCAGAGCCGTGGTAGATCAGATGGTTAACGTTCGCTGTAAATGTAACAGAACACGAGTAACCCGGGTTCGATCCCCGACGGCACCAATGAAATTGTTAATTGCAATTATAAATGCTGATTTACCACGTGCTGGGCGGTGAAAGAAAACATCGTAAGGAAACTGGCATGTCTGAGTAATAAGAAAAAAAATATTTCGAAAACATGTGAAGTTCGCCAACACGCATTGGGGCAGCGCGTAAAAAGTGATATTTCTTATTGTAATTAATTTAATATTTAAATTGTAAAGGTTAAAATTTGTTAACCAATTATTACTTCGGCTTGCGTAGGTCTAATGATGATGATGATGAGCCTTCATATGTCCTTTTATGATAAATTTATCATTATTTTTTATCTGTTCAAAACTGATAACGTATTATGTTTCTACTAATTTAATTATATTTCCAGCAAGATAGTCTATTTTCATTGAATAGAGTACTTGTAAAAAAGACGTTACAATTCAAATAAAAGTCTTACCCGACTTGAGCAGCAGTATCTGATCGTCCTGCGTGAGCTTCATGAAACCAGGAATGAGTTTAGCGAACTCGATGATATTCTGTATCATTCCGGTAAGTTTGTCGGCGCAGTCAAGCCACATCTCCTCGTATGTCATCGAATTGTAGAATAACAGCCTGTTGAACAGTTAGTTGACGTTAGAAGCTATTGGATAATCGATGTAGAAGTAGGATGTTCATAAAGAATTCATCGGTGTTAAGCGCAGTATCTATCGCTTTAGAATTTCAAGCGCTTAGAGCATTATTAAACAATTAATATTGGCGTAAGAGCATTTTATATAGAAAATAGGTTTCCAATATTATATTATGAACTTATTTTAAAGTATATTAAAGTTCGAAATAGAACCCAGTAAACTGGCCAATGCAAATGACGTCATAAATCGTCGCCATACTGGTGATTCGTTTCAAAACATTGACCAGTATATGACATCATACATTTGCGCCATATTGGAAAAGTATTGGTAATTATTTTATGTCATTTTGTGCTCCAAAAGTTATTATATCCTGTTTCAATTAATTTGTGAAGAATGGAGATATCAGCAATTATGTTAGTGAGTCGTGTTGCTATTGAAATTCATTCTGATTCATCCGATAGTGATACTGATGACGATGATTTAGTGCTTGGCTGTTTAAAAATGATATAATATAGTGGGATATCCGACACATGATGGGGGCGATACGCCAGTGCAATATAGCGTCAATTAATGACGTCATTTGCTTTCGCCAGTATACTGGGTTCTATTTCGGAACACAGACAAAATATCTAGACCGGCGACGGTAACAGCGTCAATAGTGCAAAATTTTTGCTACTACGGATCCCAATTCACCTGCTAAAGGTAACGATTAAGGCAAAAAGCGAGGTGATTAAGATGATGAAGATTTAATGTGTAATATGACGTAGCAGCTCAGAGGATCGAGGAAGTGCTTATATTAAATTTCATAGTAAGCGAGCTAACCGAATTCAATTCCTGCCGTCATCAATAATTATTATTTAATAACGATAAAGTGGCAAGCGAACTTAAGGTCCTCATGGTCACCTGATGGTAAGTAGCTACCGTATCCCATGAACACCATCAACTAACCTTAAATAAAGAAGCTACAAATGAGTTGTCACTTCTGAGGACTAAGATGGAATGCCTAACAGCTTGTTATTATACTTGTTCTCTTTATCCTTTAGACCGGAATAAAACAGTGTACGCACTGAACGACGAAATTAAGGCAAAAAAACAAACAAACAAATCAGAAGTGAAAACTCAATGATATATGGGTATGTGTACATGTACACTGGCCGCTATACTACGCGTCGCTAGTCTGGTAGAAACCAGTAACTATATGCGTAGTAAACATATTCATGTCGAGGTCATCGGTAACGCGAACCCATTAGTTTTTTCCCTACCAAACATCGCTCAACGCGGTTAAAGAAGTTTCCAGTTCGAAAGAGTTCCACCACTAAGAAAAATTAATTTTAAGCGTAGGTGTCTTCAAGGCAAGAGTGAATAGCTGAAGTGAATGGCTTTTGTTTAGTTAATCGTATGTCATTGCACCCTAATATCTTCAGCTACATCACCAATTAGTCTCATAAGTCAGCGTAACGTTTCCTTGCGATGCCATATATGCGATTTAACTTATCAGTGAAAGAAAACATCGCGAGGAAACCTAGCGCTGGTAATCTGTGGAGAACGTGGTCCTTCTCCTGTTAAGCCGACCCATCCGTGCTGCAACCGTAATATAGCTACAGCGTTACCATACCACATGAAATGGAATCAATTAGACAAAAAGAGAAAAGCCAAACTTAAATAGTAAATGGAAAATATTCGTGTATACTCACTTGGATACGTCTGGTGGTTTCCGAAACATTTCATGTATGTACTCCAACTTGGGATTTGTGTTTGCGTGTGCCTCGGCCAAGCTCTTTACCAGCACCTTGCTTATATCGCCTTCAGCTATTAACAAATTGTGGAAATGTCTTTTTATGAAACTCTTAAAACAGAAACATTTAGGATACCATATAAAATAATAGATACTAAGCAATAATCATATCGAAACTTGTAGCATAGCCATAGTCAAACGCTTTCTTGTTTCCTATTTTGAAACGTAGTCCTTTTTACTGGTAACGAGATATTATAATATATGAGCCCCAGAGGTTCCAGAGGCTCTATTAAAATTGATTCGAAATATTCGAAATGCAAATATAAAATATAAAAAATCAGAGGCACTTTGAGTTTTAATAGATAAGGGATATAAGTGTAAACCACAGCATCCCCTTTTCATTACCAAGTGGACCGAGTGCTATTTACTGGCCTTCTTCATCATTACAGCCTTTCACAAGTCCACTGCTGAGACCGAAGAAATTCCAGAAAGCCCGGTCCTGAGCCACCTGCGTCCATCCATTATCGCCCTTATTTGTTTACCGTTATCATTACCGTTACTCCCTACTAAAGGGGTAGGCCTTTGTCCACTGCTGAACAAAGGCCTACCCCTTTAGTACTACCAGAGATTGCCTCAAAGGGGGATATTTGCCATAGTTTCCACGCTTGACAAGCAAGTTGACAACCGAAGTTTTTTTTATTTTTAGTCATTATTAGGACGCTACTGCCTATCTTCTAATTTATTAACCTCTGTCGCCTCCTACGATACCCGCTGGATGATAGGGAGTGATAGTGGATATTCTTGCACCGCACACGGTAAAAAGTAGTTTATAAAAACTAATTTCGGAAGTGTGCCCGCAAAATATTCATACTCTTCACTCATTCTGTCTAACCATATCCGACGTATTGCTTAAGATAAAATTAGACGTAGCCCGTATTGCAGTGTCAGACACGAGTACATAATTCTACACCCCAGACTCGAAATTAACAATTGTTTTAAACAAATTGTCGGTTAGGTTTACAACTGATATAGTAATCACGTATTACAACCACTATACCTTGTGGTGAACAGTAAAAAAAACTATAAGCAATACTATTTTCCGTTCGTAATTTTGTTGCCTAGCACAAAAATCATAAGCTATATATAATTATAACTATGTACCTAAGTACAAAATAAAAAATAAGCATATTTATTAATTAAATCTGAAAATAAAAAGGTAAAAAAACTATTTCATAATGATGCCCTGCACAAAATTAACCTTTAAAAATATATATTTTACAGTGACAGTTACAAATAAAATGACAAGTATAACTATTTTACGAAATAAATATAATGTTTGTGAGTGTGAAAAAATAATATATTAACATGGTATTAGACCCTATATCAGCCATAATATTGACCACATGTTTATTTTCTTGTTGGCGTAAGTATTTGCTTATTTTGTTTTAATGTACTATATTTTTGGAACAGCTTAGTTTAATCATTCATTTTTAGAAAATTACTCTTTAGAAAGGAATATAGGTATTAGGGTACAATCTAGTTTATTTTAGGTATTGTTTGTGAACGCGATTGTATATTTTGTGCTTGAAATTAGCTGCCGGCAGTGGCGATATTATAGCAGTTTGGTATTTTAATGTGATATCAAAACGTATTTTTTTTATTTCCAGCTTGCTTGATCAGCTGTTGTCTTGCCATGCCAATTATACCATATCCACTAATAATTGTTGAATCAAAGAAATATCCGAGAGATCATCATAGTACGGTATTTATGGCTTTATCCAAATTTATTACTACACCCAACATTGGATCTATTTATTTATAAAATTCTACACTCACTTTCTCCAAAATTCAAGTAAGGATATACAATTAAAAATATCTGTGACATATTATGCAATTAATTTTATTATTTCTCTTTAGTAATTTAATATATTATAAATTCACGAACGGATTTTAAATGTATGTATATTTTCTTTTTTAGTGTGACGGCCCGTTCTACTACGTATGTTTTAATAAAAATAAAATATATCTTAAAAGACACAGATCATCGAAATGAATTAATATAAATATTGTTATTAATGTATACGTAGCTATATTAAATATAAAATTATTAAATTCTCTTATTTTTCATTACATAGAAAATAACAAAACTATCATAATTGTAATAAAGTCAAATCTATAACGAAAAACGTAAACTAACTAGCGTACAAAATAATAAATCAAACGAAACGAAAATTTGAAATAGCGATCAAAATAAATCCAACCAAATTAAAATCATAACCAAACGACATCCAAATTTCTACCACTTACAAGGCAAATCGTCTCCACTCGAACCGCTCTGACTGGACCCCGGATGTCTCCGATTTGTAACTGCATTCGGATTGACCATTCCCATTCCGGACATATTATTCATATTTAAAGGATCCATTAACCTTCCGTGCCCACTACTTGATGTCAGATCATCTGGGCTAAGCTCCTCGCTCGTCAGTGACACTGAACTCTGGCCGCTAACTAAAACTGTGTTCTGTATGTCCATTGGACTATGTTGTATATTTGAAGGACTATGCAGGAAAGTCGTAGAGTCAACATAGCTGGCAACCAGGTTATCAACGCCCATGGATGTCTCTGGCTTTATTTCCTGCTTTATGTTAATGACCCCGGATGATATGGATGCGGGCGATTGGATCCTATCTTGGTCGTAACGCTCGAAATCTTGCTGTATTCGAGTTCGCGTGATATCGTTTATCGACGTCTGCCGCATGGACGTCGTTGAGGTGGTCGCGGTTGTGGTGGATGTTGAACCGGTTGGTCGGACGATGGTTGAACTTTTTTGTTGTTCGTCTATTGACAATTTTTTTTAATTATATTTTTTACTTAACACAAAGCGATAAAACTATTCATTATATAATAAGCAAATTTTCATTTTATATATTTCCTAATTATACTACTTTCAAAAATTAACTCATTATCTTTTTTTTAAATACTACTTACACTAATACTCCTGTTAACCTCTCCAAGTAAGTTTAAAATGCTTGTTGCACGGGTTTGAATTCATCATTCGATGGTAATCGCTTGGTGGATTCAAACATTTTTTGGATTCAACCAAACAATGACTCTATTAGTTTGCAGTCCGTAGACCTTAACCACTATTCCACCGTCGCTTCTTTACTATCTAGATTTATTGAAATTTCAACTCACCATGTCCAATAAAGTCTGTGTCCAAAAAGCCGCTGGTTTGCTTGGGCTCGTAAGCAGTAGTGGAGTCCACGTAGTCAGCGGACACGTCGTACGGCTGCTGCTGCTGCGGCTGGGGCTGAATGCCGCTCATGTTGGACGTGAGGGCCGGCCCCGTGTTGCTATAGCCGTAAGATGACAGCGGCGAGCTGTAGCCCGGGTAACTGAAAATTTGACAGTAAAAATTACTAACAAAAATTAGTGCGTGTAACCTTTACGCGCTATTGAAATAAAAGTTAATGTTAATGAAATACCAATATATAATTCGGTTATGTATTTATTTTCTGTGTTATTATTTATTGATTATTATTAATTTATCAATACTTTTTACTTGTTAATAAAATAATAATCTATGAAAATATGTATATACTTATACGTTACAGCCAAGCTTCTCACCTGAACAAAACTAATTTTGTCCGACGATTAGGTACAGTCAAAAGTAGAATTGACTAAAAATAACGGTTAATAGAGATTTTTTATGTAAATATAGGTTAAATAAGCCGTGGTAGCTCAGATGGTTAGCGCTCGCTGTAAATTTCACAGTACGCTAGCAACCCGGGTTCGATCCCACCGGCACCTATGAAATTGTTAATTACAATTTTAAGTGCTGATTTACCACGTGCTCGGCGGTGAAGGAAAACATCGTGAGGAAACCTGCATGTCTGAGAAATAAAAATAAAATATTTCGAGGACATGTGAAGTTCGCCAACACGCATTGGGGCAGCGCAGCGGACACTTCCTTGCCCTAAAAACCTCTCAGAAATGAGAGGAGGCCTGTGCCCAGCAGTGAGACGTATATAGGCTGTAACTTTACTTTTTTTTACTTTACAGGTTAAATATAGTTTTGACCAAGACTTGTGGTAAAAATCACTTTTGACCAGGAGTCATTACAACCCGTCACCCGTCAACTGAGGTACATAGGCCTCCCCCAAGGAACGCCACAAAGCATAGTCCTGAGCCACCTACATTCATAGACTTCCTGCTTATTTGTCTTAAGTTTGTTTGATTGCTTCTAAACGAGCGTACGACTCAGTTGATGGTAAGTGATTACCGCCGCCCACGAACACCTGCAACACTGGGGTAATTGCAGTTTGTCCTAATATATTGTATTTGGCCGGTAACAAAGTGCTTTAGACTACACAAAAAAATCACTTCTAATTGCTTTTGTTGGTCAAAATAGTTTTAATCGGGAACTAGATATAACTGTAACATATATAACACATTCTTTAAGAAGAAATTAATACAAATTTAACTAAAGAATAATGTTAATTACTCTATATCGAGTCCTTAGAACAAGCTCATAGAAGGACAGTGAATTAATTGTAGCTCGTGAATCACTTAATTTGAAAGAACCGTTCATAATGTAACTGAAAGGAAGAGTAGAAAGTATGAAAGTGTCCTGCATTGTCCTGCCTACCCTACTTATGAGCGTACTATGTAAAAACTTTGATTTTGTTGGCCTTATTTTCTCCAATATTTTAAAGTCAAATTCAAAATTAAAATATTATTCAAAATCGGCCTTTCAATATACATTTTTAAACAAAATAACTACCTACATTGCTCTATCGCTGGAAACCTTGTGAGAAGTTTAAAGTATAGTTTAAATAAAGTTCCCGAATATCGGAATTTATTATTTGGTATTAGGTGCATAAAAGTATTTTTTATCCATCACCCTCCCCCATATATTGGCTCCTCACTGTGCCATAGCTACCACGCTTGGCAGACGGATTGGCAAACGCGGTTGCTACCTATTAGTTTTATATTACTTATAAATTACTACTGGTATAAGTAGGTCCCAGAGTACAGTATATACCAAATAATATCATCAGAGTAAAAGATTTGCAACCTGATTTTTTTTTATAGGATAGGGTGACAAACGAGCACACAGTCCACCTGATGGTAAGTGGTTGCTGTGGCCCATAAACATCTACATCTATCCTCGATTAAGAATCAAAATGCAGATTGCGCTGTCACCCGTGAGGACTAAGATGGAATGCCTCGTTTCTAGTAAAAAGAGTCTCCGGTTCTCAACATTCATCATACGAAACACAGCAGCATTAAGCTACTATTTCACGCTGGTATTCTGTGAGAGCGTGGTCCTTCCCCGGTCGAGCCGACCCATTGGTGCTACAACTATACTACTAATATAACTTCAGCATGGCTCTACCACGTATAAATTTACCACTTTTTTTTGTCTTTAACAGGACAGGTAGCTCAAATTATACAAACAGTAATACCATTTGGAAGCTGAAAGTTCTAAAATCACGTAATATAGACGGAAACAAAAATATATATACAAAAAGCTAAGGTCTCATGATGTTTAATGCGACCCGTCAATTAAAATCAATAAATTCAAACGTATACAACGATTGCCATGAATGCTCTCATCACACCGCTATCTATTGGCGATTACAGGAATTATCTGAGTACCGCTATTCGATACTAGGTGGCGCTATTTACATTTACCGCTAGGCATCATTCACTGTCACGGGCGGTTACCGTTGTGGTAATGACGTCTGATGCACCGCTGACACGAATGTCTGCGACGAATTGCGGGTAAACAACGGTAAGGGCCTTTATGTAGACACTGGAGAAAGCATCTCCGCTTAGACGATTATATAACGGGAAACTAGCAACGAATGAAAAATGCAATGATTACTAGAAGAGTAACGGTGGACACTGCATAATTTTTATCAAGCTAACGCATATAAGAGTTATCGTGTTTTTGTTAGACTGCAACTCAATTAAATTCAACTAATATAAAATTTTCCACGTTTTAGTTCACAGCTACATCGTGCTTATTCTATTGAACACTAGATGGTACTATTGTATACGAACGGCGCTAGGTGATATTGAAGCAAAACAGTATCTTTCACGCTTTTTGATAGCCGTTTTATATAATGATTGTATATTTAAGAATTATAAAATTATTGTTGCCCTTGAGTAACTAATTTCACTTATTAAATCGCTTACCCATTGTAATGACCATGGAATTGATCGCTGGAACTCGGAGTTTGCTGCTGGGCATCATATACTGAGTCCGGTGCTGCATCCGTTTGAGCGCGCATTTGCGCGCGGTGGAATCGAACCTCGTCCTCTACTTTCTCACGTTGCTTCTTTGACATACGGCCAAATTTCACGGCTGAAAAAAGGAGAAAATAATTTTAAGTATTTCGTTTACCAATATAAAATAAAATAAAATATTATTCTTTTTAAATTTACAATATAAGGTTGTTATTTATAACGACAATTAAATTATTTTTTATCGTGAGCCAATTAGTTACGAAATTTGCCGCTAGATAGCGCTGAGATCGCTTGCCGAAACTGATGTAATAGTTACGACCTAACTGATTTGCGTCGTACAAATACCTTCTTTAAATTCACACGGTAAAAAAAGTTACGTTAAAAATCAGTAAAACATCTCTGACAATATACATTGCGCTCTCAATGACTCCTAGCATACTGTTACTCAATACCTCATACATGCATAAGAACTGTTTAAGTGTGCAAAACGCATTGGTGTGGGAGCGTGTTGCGAATGTGTGCGTTAAACAGCACGGTTAATGGCCCGCTGTGTGCGTGACAACACGTACAAGATTAACGCGTGTGCGCGCAGGCACAGCGGCCGTTGGCACAGTGCCTAGTGGAACAACGAACTCTGGTAACTCTGACGTTGTATGTATACGTACTACGTACGTGTGACGTATAGCAAGCCTTACTACGTAACGCCACAGTAACGCGGCTCGATCCCGTTGGCTGGTAAGGCGACTAAATTGCGACGTCGGGTATTTTAAGAAATTGTATTGCTATGTGCTTAGTCCGTTAATTTAGTCGACTAATTTCTCGCGGCCAAGTGAGACCGCTTTTGTGTAAAACTTTCGGTTCCTTACGATTATAAAAAGCCTTCTTTGTCGAAAAGTTCGTTGACCCATGGCATTTGCCGACTAGAGTAGATCTCTTTTCTTTACATGTTATTTGAATTGATAGGTCGTGTCGACTAGTTGAAATTGGTACGTGTTTTGGTACAGTAACCTCTAGTTTAACGTTCTATTTAATACGTTTTCTAACAAAGACGATATTTTGTGAAAAACATTAATGTCTTGACAGTGAGCTGACTCTTTTCGTGAGCACTGGCCATTTAGAAGTTTCAAAATAATTTATGACCCAAAAACTTTTAGGTCAATTTTAAACTCGTCTATTTGCTTTTGTTATACCTACTGCTTATAACCGTGTATTGGCGGTGTAAGAATACCCACTACCTCATATCATCCCACGGGTGTCGTGAGAGGCGACAGAGCGAAACGAATCAGAAGATGAGCAGCAGCGAGTTCCCAATAACGACTAAAAATAAAAAAACTGCTGTCACCAATCGCGACACGTATGGCACATATCCCCTTATGAGGCAATCTATGGGGGAGGCCTGTGTTCAGCAGTGGACTTTTAATAGGCTGTGACGGTAACGATGTAAGTAACACATACTGTGCACATATTGTGCTGTATCTGTGGAATCTAAATCTATACATACGCTAGACTTATGTTAAGTAACTTAGCACTAATCTTGTGAAATACACACGCAAGGATACGAATAAGTCATAAAATATTATGGATAGACAATTGAAATCAAACTTTTTTTAATAACAATATTAAATGTCACAAGGAACTAACAGGCCAACCTGTAGCCCAAAATGAAAGAGGTGATAGGGTAACTCAGCTCAAATTCTAATTCCCCCACTCCCCGCACCTGTAACACTCACGGTAAGTGAAGGAGACCAGTACATATTGCCTGTTCTAAACAAGCCAGCGCTTCTATTTTTATCATAGTTCCATAAACGCGTAATGTATATTCTGATCGTCACCACCTCCGTTAAGCCTAAATATAACCAATCAAGCTCAACATAATTAGGAATTTCATATTACGTAAATACATGGTATTTTAAAAAAAGTGGAAATAAAATGAACTATTTATATTAGTTCATTTATTATTCAAAGTTATGATCCTAACTTAAAGTAATTTATAAGCGGTAGTATTGTATTGGAAGTAACTATGGATTTTTTTTTATCGAGAAAATTAAAACGTTCATTAACATATCATGATAAACATTGAAATCCAAACTTTAATATATTTATTTAAAATTAATGCTGCAATATTTTCGGCATAACGAGGCATCTTGCTAGCCACATTATATTTCCCCTTAAACAAATGATATAAGAGTTTAAAAGAACTTAAGCGGCACTCATTAATTATGAGCTCTGACGATCCTAATGAGAATATTATGTTTTAGTCAGGAACTTTATACGTAAAGTAAGTACACTGTCAACGTCTGCAAATTTTTAGATTATTCCGACGCCCAGATTTGGGTGAAAACAATTATGGAATTCCCAGAGCGGTGGCAGCAGGTCTAAGCGCTTGCTGTGGTTGAGCTCGGGTTTGGTCCCCGTCGGCACCAATGAAATTGTTTATTGTAATTAAGTGCTGATTTACCACGTGCTCGGCGGTAAAGGAAATATCGTGAGAAAGCAAGCATGTCTGAGAAATAAAAAATTAAAACTCAGGCACGTAAAGTCCAACAAAACGTATCAAGGCAGCGAGCGCGGCTGACACTTTCTTGCCCTTAAAACTATCAGAAATTATGAGAAGAGTGCGTGGCTGTAACTTTTACTTTTTTAAAACTTAATACATGCATACATAGTACAGTACATACGTGCACATCCTTATATACACACATACATACCTACATATATATATATATATATATATATATATATATATATATATATATATATATTATAGAATTATGGTGACAAACAAGCACCCAGTCCACCTGATAGTAAGTGGATGCTGTGGGCCATAGACATCTACATTTATCCTCGATTAAGAATAAAAACCCAGATGCGTTGTCACCCCTGAGGACTAAGATGGAATGCCTCTTTTCCAGTTAAGAAGGGCTCCGGATCTCTACACTCGCCATACGAAAAACAGCAGTATTAAGCTGCTATTTTACGCTAGTATACTGTGAGAGCGTACTCCTTCTGCGTGCGAGCCGACCAATTCGTCCTTCAACCATAACATAGCTGCAGCGTGGCTCTACCACGTAGAAAACTTGTGTTATAGTTTTATTAATATTCTAAGCCTGTGATTGACCCTAATATGACGGTAAATAGTGGTGAAGCCGAAGATGGTTAAGCGCCCTGACTTAGCTTAACAAAAGCCTATTCACTCTTGCCTCAAATACTGGGTGTATTTGAGGCAAGAGTTATGTAATCGGATGGAAAGACAGATGCTGAAAGCTTGCCACTCTTTTGCTGTACGCAGGACGGACGATGAAGAAGAAAAAATTTGGTTTGAATGCATGGTAAGTCGACAACAAAGGTGTGGAGACGCTTGTATTAACTCTCTTGTCATTCAAACCGGAACACTGCTAGTGTTTGGTGTTAAAAATAATGTAACTGAGACCCACAAGGTTTCATAATATCTATCATTTGAGTAAGTCCAATGTATGTTAAGCGGCTCTATACTAATTTAGTAGAGTAGGACCGTATCAAGCGATATTAGTAGATAACTAGATACAACAGATAACAATATTGATAACATAATATCGTGAAAGAATCCACGTCATTCGCAACCGAATGGAATTGGGTCAAACTTTTTTTACCTTATTTTCAGATTCGATCGAGTTCGTTACATAAACATAATGACTGGTATCTATTCGTGTCTGTCAGTTACGTGCTTACAAAAACATATATTATTATGTTACGCTTCACGCCTGCACCGTTGCACAATATGTAGTGACGTGCCATAAAAGAAACAGAAATTTTATCGATGTCGATACTATGATAAACACTACTATTTTATTTGTGTTTTATTGAGGCGATTTATATACATATAAATTGCATAAGGACAAAAATCCAGGCCAAAAAAAATGCTGTAATAATACTAACAACTCTCGTTCCATTTGGGATTCAAACTGGCCGCAATCTCGCAATTAGTCACTATGCTACGGAGTAAACACATTGCTTTAAATTCAATAAAAGTAATTTCAAGAGGAAGCACACTTAATGAACAAAAAGTAACGAATAGATGCGAATAAAAACTACGTGTGTGCTTGAATAATTAATTCAGTAATACAATAAGTAGGCGCGAAATGGTCTGGTTTTAAATGTGAATGTGTATAAAGACAAAGTCACAGCCTATATACATTCTACTGCTGGGACAGGCCCCCTTTGACAGAGTTTTAAGAGCAAGGCAATGTCCGCCACGCTGCCCCAATGCTTGTTGACTAACTTCACATGTCTTCAAAATAGTTTTATTTTTCAAACATGCAGGTTTTTTGACGATGTTTTCCTATAACGCAAAGCACGTGGTGAATCAGCACTTAAAATTGCAACTAACAATTTTATTGGTGCTGGCAAAGATCGAACCCGGTTCGCTCACGTACTGGGAAATTTTCAGCGAGCGCTTAGCCGCTGAGCTACCACGGCTCTGGTGTATGTATATTTATCCTAATTCGTTTTGGTCTGTTTCCAACAGTGACAATAGACTATGAAGTACATAGGTAAACTACCAACTAGCGTTTTTACTTTTAGAATAACGTAAGTGGTTCTTTAAAAACAAAATTATGATCGAAATTCTCGAAAGGTTTTTACACTGTTTATGATAAATAATTTATTTCTTTTTTTGCGAATATAATAAATGTAAATATTTCATTTACTACGACATCGACATATTATATACCCTTCCTTTCGGGCATCACTAGCCGTTACATAGAGTTGCGCAATGGCGGCGCGTCACCGTACGCTTGGGCGGCGCCTAGCTATGCGCATACTGGGACGGGATTTGCAGCTTCGACAAAATGGCGCACCCATACCTTGTACATAACAATCTGAAGTTATCGGTTCGCATTTATGTTGTAATGTTTTGTATACAACGTGTGAGAAATGAGGACATAAACTACATTGTCTCATACTGTATATACGTCAGAAAAGTCACGCAAGTTATTAATTAGAGTGGACTGATATGCTATTTAAGTACAATTTTCAATAAATTTCTAGTTGATTATTCAAATGAACGTTTTACTCTATTAGCTAACTTTTTTTTTAACTACTCGAAACTACTACCACAACTCAAAATAAAACGTTAGTATAAAGATGTTTTACAAGATTTAATATTATACACTTATCATCACACTCAATCTAGCATTTGGCCGATGGTAAATTCTAACAATATTATGACGGTTTGGACTAATCTTTATGATAGACGGTCAAACAAACTTTCTTTAGAAAATCCTAAGCCAAATTTCAATGTGAGTGATTACGTTCGAATAACTAAATATAAACAAGTTTTACATATAAAAAATAGAATTATTACAACCGTGCAACAATGAAAATAAATTAAAATTTTATATTTTAATTTCCCAAGTGTAGCTAATATATATTTGCACGTAAATTTTATTAGTTAAAAAGCTCACATATATAAACCATACCTGTGGACATCCACTACGAGAGACCACGCCTTAGGCGTGACCACACAAACATTCCTTTACAGGCTACATAATTATTTTCCTACACTATCGCATTTTCTTTATCACTTGGACCACGGCAAACGTGATTGTATAAGACCAACATTGTATTATCAGAACTGATAAGATGTCGTTGACCTCGTGCTCGCTTTCTCATACCAACCACGTGTTTACGACGTAATTTTATTTCACGATCTCACCGTTTGTTAGTTGTCCGCATTCGAGAATCAAATCTGCGCGGAAAACGAAGTCGCAGTCAAAACAAATATTAATGTTCTATTATTTTTCGCAATAGAAAAAAAATATAAATTTCGTCAATGATTACTGCTATTTTATTTTTCTTGTTTTAATAAGGTATGCAAGTGAATGAAACTTTTTGCCAAATAATATTTAAATTGTTTACGTGTTTTAGTTAGGTAAATATTGAATACACTTAAACGCCAGTTTGCAAAGAAGCTTTTTTCTGTATACGTGTTTTGCGACTATTTATATGTAATTTACGTATCGTACTAAACAGTGAGATATATGCCAACGTTTCCTTATTTCTTAGTGCGGGTGTTAGTTACATCGTATTTATGACGATTAACGTGGTAGAGCCACGCTGCAGCTATTATGGTTGTAGCACGAATGTGTCGTCTCGACCGGGAAGAAACCACGCTCTCACAGAATACCAGCGTAGAATAGCAGCTTAATGCTGCTATGTTTCGTATGGTGAGTGTAGGGAATCGGAGACCCTTTTTACTGGTACCGAAGCATTTGATCTTAGTTCTCAACGTTGACAGCGCATCAGCATTTTGATTCTTAAGGGGAAATATAATCTCAAATGGCTTAGCAAGATCCTTCGTTATGCCGAAAATATTGCAGCATTAATTATGAAATAAATATATGGTAAAGTTGAGGATTAATGTTAAGGATTATGTTAGACGAAAACAAGATTTCGTAAAATTATCTCAATAGAAAAAAATCCAAAGTTACCTCCAAAATAAACAATAAACCGCTGTTATTCATAAAATACTTTAAATAATCATGAAACTTTGCATACTAACTGAACTAACTATAAAGCAGTGCTTATGTTATTTACTTTTTTTGAAATACCATTATTTTCACTGTAAAAAGAAATTACCTAAACTATCGGCGTCTTGAGCTTGATTCTAGTCGCCCCGTTAGTATCGCTTAGGCTTTTGAAGGAGAAGTTGTGTCGCTTACGATCAGAATATACATTACGCAACAGTACGACGTAAAATTAAAATGGGAAATAACCGTGATAAAAATAAGAAGCGGCTGGCTTGGCGTTAAGAAACATGCATAAATATGTTAAACCTAATGAAATAAGTGTCTAACGACCTTTCTACTTACAGTATTAGTGATTACAAACATATCGGTACATAGCATACGACGCACGGGGAAGTGGGGGCGAAATTAGAATTTGAGCTGAGTTACTCTATCCTCTTAATTGAGGACAGATTTAGATGGCTAAATCTAAAGGGTACAGACAGGAAGTTAAGTACAGACTGTGAAGCATTCCGTGCTTTATGGCATTCCTTGGGGGAGGCCTATGTTCAGCAGTAAACTTGTAAAGGGCTAAGAAATGAAGATGAACCATTCAACCTTGGTTTTCACAGTCGACAACGAACCTGTAGCCGTCCTTGTTTGAAGTTGGTTGCATATGTCCATTGACTACAATAGCTTATGAACTATAAGTTCATTTGACACATCTTTTTTTTCATCAAAAACAAGGCATGCCACTTGAGGCAATCTTGGAAATGTATAAAAAATATTAAAACTGCCAATAATTTAATATTTATTATTATTTGATTGGCTCGTTGGTCTAGTGGTTGTAGTAGTACGACTGCTGATCATGAGGTCCTGGGTTCGAATCCCGGGTCGGGCCAAAAAAACTAATTATTGAGTTTTTCCGTCAAGAAATTCTCAGTAGTTGCCCGGAGTCAGGAATTTGGCGGTGTCTCAACCCCGTGCCTCGGAAAGCACGTAAAGCCGTTGATCCTGCGTCTGATCTCTCTCCGGTCGTGTCGGTTTACCGTCCCATCGGGTTATGAGAGTGAGGGAATAGAGAGTGCACCTGTGCTTGCGCATACACTTGGGCACTATAATCTTGTATTGCGCCGATGGCTAGCCTCCGCTGAGGCAGGCCGCCGTGGCCGAAATTAGGTCTGGAGCACATTATTATGTATTATTATTTAACAAAAATAAATACATACCATCGCGGCTCATACCAAGTTTGAGGCACTTCTGCAGCCGGCAGTACTGGCAGCGGTTGCGGTTGACGCGGTCGACCACGCATGCCTTGTTGCGCGGGCACTGATAGTTCACCACTGAAAGAATGTGCTGTGTTAATAAAACACATTTAAATTCGTTCGACGTATGCGCCAATGAGCATGCGTGCTTAGTAAAAAGTTTTATTTTTTATTTAAGTAAACTGACAAAGTGCTAATCGATCAATATAATGTCGTTTGTGATAAAAATTCAGTTCACCCCTATAGACAAAAAACTGTGGCCGGAGTAGGAAAAGGGGAGATCTCCCGCCGGGCAAGGTGTTCTGCCCGGGGAGTGGCCGACACTCCGAGTGATAGTTTAGAGAAGTTCTATATCTACTGTCTATGATTCGGAATGTTGATAGCGTGATTTAAGCTTCGGTGTATTTCGCTTGTGGCGCGACGACAGCGCCGCTACATCACCCCCCTACTCAGACCGGAGGTCGATAGTGCAGCCTCGTTGCCGACGAATGTGCAAGTGCCAGGAGATTGCCTTGTAGTCTGCGGTAAGTCGAGAAGAAGGCAAGTAATCTGCGAGAGTGCCGTGAAGCAGAGGCGAGCAGTAAGGCTCAGAGCCGTGCCGAACACTGTATGGCGCAGAGAGTAGCTTGAAGGAACAGGAAGCATTATTATTCCAGTGCTGCGATGAACCTTGTGAAGCTAGATGGCTTGCAGGATATGAAGACTGCAGACGATATCTGCTCGGGAGCGAGTGGGTGGGGTATTCTATGACGATGATGAAGCTTGAAGTTTCCGAAGGTTGTTTGGTTGCGTATTCAGATCACGTCGGTTAGTCACCACTGTGGCCGGGGAAGGAACAGGGGAGGTCCCCCGCCGGGCAAGGTGTTCTGCCCGGGGAGTGGCCGACACTCCGAGTGATAGTTCGGAGAAGTTCTATATCTACTGTCTATGATTCGGAATGTTGATAGCGTGATTTAAGCTTCGGTGTATTTCGCTTGCGGCGCGACGACAGTTACTTTTTTAGTTGAAATCCCCTGCTAGCTAGTTTTCATCTTTCTCACCTATTTTGCCATCAAGCAGCAGTGCGTGTACTACAATATTCCGGTATGAAGAGTAATAGAAAGATAGTATCCAGAATAATTACAAACTGTGAAGCATTCTATCTTAGATGTTATTTTTCATAGAATGAAGGTGATAAACGAGCACACAGTCCACCTAATGGTAAGTGGATGCTGTAGCCCATAGACATCTACATTTATCTTCGATTAAGAATCAAAATGCAGATGCGTTGTCACCCCTAAGGACTAAGATGGAACACCTCGTTTTCAGTAAAAAATGGTCTCCGGATCTTTACATTCACCATACGAAACACAGCAGTAGTAAGCTGCTATTTTGCGCTGGTGTTCTGTGAGAGTGTGGTATCCCCGGTCGAGCTGACCCATTCGTGCTATAACCATATAATAGCTGCCGCTTGGCTCTACTACGTACGAACAAGACATTGCATCTGTAATTTGCTTCGTTTACAGTAACCACATACCACCAGGTGGTCTGTAAATCCGTATGTTACTTCCATTCTTTAAAAAAAAACTTATAACCAGTGAGACACATATAATCATTTAAGTAGACAGATACTTAAGTGGCATTTGTTTTATCCCATTTTATAAAAATATTCGCTCTATATAGATGATATGTAATTAGCATACCAGCCGAATAATTGACGGATTCTAGGTTCAAGCTCCCGTTGATTTTATACATGTTTAAATTAAAACTACCCTTGCTCAAAGTATTGCTGTTACATATTATTATATGATTTACGAATCAGAAAGCTAAAACGACCATGAGCTGGTAATATTGCTCGGAAAACCAACAACCGAAGGTGTATAAATATAAAGGTTGTCGAATAGCAGCCTCTTAGCCGTCGATAGGTGCTGGTGGCTTAAGAGCATACTCGTAAGATCGTGTTTTGTATCATAATTTATAATAGTAATAATAATTTCGTTTATTCGCTTAAACATGTTATGGCATATAGTTCACATTTTTACCAGATCTGGCCTGCTAAGATATTGCATATATTTGATCTTTATACGTTCAGCAGTGGACCTGTGAAGGGTGATGATGATGATGATGATTATAATATAGCCAACATAAGTAACAATGTGCTTTACACGGGATAAGTCCACGCTGCAGCTATATTATGTCTGGAGGACGATGAATCGGCTCGGTCAGAGAAGGACAACGCCCTTATCGAATATCAGCATAAAATAGTAGTATAATGTTTCTCTGTTTCAATGAGGTGAATCTTTTAGTTCAGAGTTTGAGTCCTCAGGGGTGACAACGTATCTGCATTTTGGTTCTTAATTGTCTATGGGCCTCAACAAATGTACTATCAGATTAGCTATGTAGGTACTGGTTTGTCATTTTTACTTGCATAAAAATTCATTGAAGAAAATATGCTACCATAGACGGCGTAATGAAGAAGCTATTTATATTTTATATATAGAAAACTTGAGCACAAAATAAGTATAAAATAACCAAAAGTCAACGGTACAGATAAAGCAAAAATAAGACCTCACTACTCTTACAGACAAAATAACAGACGCTACAAAAGATAAGGAGCCAGGAAAACAGATAATCCCAGCAGCAATAAATATGATTCGAACACGATTTAAGTTAAGATAAGTCGTAATATTACAACTTAGCAAGTTTGATATATATGGCATAGTTAACTTAGTTTTCTTCACTGGTTAGATAAATGAGAACGAGTACAGGAATCTGATTAATTCAAATTGAGTGCAACAATCGTCATCATCATCATCATCATCATCATTAAAGCCCTTCAAAAGTCCACTGCTGAACATAGGCCTCCCCCAAGTAATGCCACAAAGCACGGTCCTGAGCCACCTGCATCCATCGACTTCCTGCATGTCTTACCAGGTCGTCACTCCATCTAGTGGGGGGTCGCCCTACACTACGCCTACCGGTATGAGGCTGCCACTCGAGAACCTTTCTTCCCCATCGGTTATCGGTTCTTCGAGCTATATGGCCGGCCCATTGCCACTTCAGCTTACTAATCCGTTGGGCTATGTCGGTCACTCTGGTTTTACTGCGGATATCCTCATTTCTGAGTCTATCACGCAGAGAAACTCAAAGCATAGCCCTCTACATAGCTTGCTGAGCGACCTTAAGCGTCCTCATATGGCCAGCAGTGAAGGACCACGTCTCAGATCCGTAAGTCATCACTGGTAACACGCACTGGTTGTACAATCTAGTTTTTAGAGATTGAGGTATACCTGACGAAAAGATATGTCGTAATTTCCCGAACGCTGCCCAGCCGAGTTGAATCCGTCGATTGACCTCTCGGTCGAAGTTGGACTTACCTAGTCGGACTATTTGTCCCAGGTAAACGTACTCGTCAACAACTTCGAGCATAGTGCTCCCAACAACTACCGGCATAGGTGTGACATGGACATTAAACATGATCTTTGTTTTGTCCATGTTCATCTTAAGACCTATCCGTTGGGAGGCACTATTGAGGTCATTGAGCATAATGCTTAAGTCCTCCAGCGATTCTGCCATAATGACTATATCGTCGGCAAATCGAAGGTGAGTGATGTACTCGCCATTGATGTTAATACCGTATCCTTTCCAGTCTAGTAGCTTGAAAACGTCTTCCAACGCAGCGGTGAAGAGTTTCGGGGATATCACATCACCCTGTCTTACACCTCTCTGCAGTTGGATAGGTTTCGAACTCTGGTTCTGTACTCGGATAGCCATCGTAGCCCTAATGTACAAACACTTCAGCACTTCGATGTACCGACAGTCAACTTGGCACCGCTGAAGGGACTGTAGCACCGCCCAAATTTCGACGGAATCAAAGGCTTTCTCATAGTCCACATATGCCAGGCAAAGTGGCAGATTGTACTCTTCGGTCTTCTGTACAATCTGCCGCAGGGTATGTATGTGGTCTATGGTACTGAAGCCTTTTCGGAAACCGGCTTGTTCGGGAGGCTGGAAGTCGTCGAGTCTGCGTGCGAGACGATTAGTAATGACTCTGGAAATTGCATGTAGACGCGGCTCAGAAGTGAAATCGGTCTGTAGTTCTTCAAGAGAGCGTTGTCGCCTTTCTTAAAGAACAAAACCACCGCGCTTCTGCTCCACGCCTCCGGAGTAGTGCCACCATGGAGGACGGAATTGAAGAGCTTCCGAAGGACTTCAAGTACCGGTTTTCCACCCGCTTTCAGAAGCTCCGCTGTAATTCCATCCTCGCCCGGGGCCTTGCCGTTTTTAAGGTGGTGGAGAGCCATTCTAATCTCGCTCAGACTGACGTCCGGGATATCATCGGAATAGTGTCGGATAAGACTTGCTCTTGGATCGTTACTCACACTTGCGTGTGGCTCCAACGATGATGTGTACAGCTGCCCATAGAACCTCTCAATCTCACTCAGAATCTCAGGTGTCCCGGAAACGATGTTGCCACACTCAGTCTTCAGCTTTGACAGTTGGCTCTTTCTGGCAGACAGATCTCTGGCAAAGACTTTGGAGCCCTGGTTCCGCTCGATCGCTTCTTTAATACGAGAAGTATTAAAGTTGCGTAAGTCTCGTCGCATGCATTTGGAGATCTGTCTGTTCAGTTGCCTGTATGCTGTCAAATCTGTTGACGATTGCAGCCTCATCTCCCGTCTAACAGCCATGAGATTAAGAGTGTGATCGGAGAGTTTTTGTGTTCTTCTGCGGCGGGTCTTGCAGAACTTAACTCCGACCGCATGGACAGTTTCCACGAGCTTGTCGTTCATATCGTCCACTGCATTGCAATCTTCTAGGCACTGGAAGCGGTTACGTAACTCGAGCTGAAAGGTTTCGGGATTCTGGATTAGAGCACGAGGGGGACGGAGCGTTGACTTCATTAGACGAGACCTCTCCAACTTAACGTTTAGGTTCAGTGTGCCTCTAACCATTCGGTGATCGCTGCCAGTTTTCACCCTTGCGATCACTGAGACATCACTGAACAGTTGGCGTCTGGTCGTCATAATGAAGTCAATCTCATTTCTTGTCGAAGCGTCGGGGCTCGACCAGGTCCACTTCCTGTGGGGCCGCTTCTGGAAGAAAGAGTTCATCATAAAGAGTCCCTCTTTCTCCATAAAGTCGGCCAGCTGCTGGCCCCTTCGGTTCCGTTGCCCTACTCCAAATTTCCCTACCTTCAGCTCACCGCTTTCTCTTGTGCCTAGTTTTGCGTTGAAGTCTCCCATCAACACCGTGTAGTGGGTTTTGGAGGAATGTATGGCTCTGGAAATATCCTCATATATTTCCTCCACCTCCTCATCGGGATGTGCCGAGGTTGGTGCGTAAACCTGAATGACCTTCAGCGAATACCGTTTGGTGATTCTGAGTATCAGGTACGCGACCCTCGTCGACACACTCCCAATCTTTACAACGTTGTTGACGAGAGACTTGTGGACGATAAATCCGACACCTCCTTGGGACAGATGGTCGCCCTCCCGGTGATAGAACAAGTTGCCGGACTCGAGGATTACCGTGTCCTCCCCTCTCTTCGGACCTCTTCCAGCTCCAGTATCTTCTCGTCAGTCCTCAGGGTGCGTGCGTTATATGTTGCCAGGTCGAGTCGTCGTAGGTGGCAACCGAACCTCCACCGGAGATTCTTAGCACCCCCTGCCTCGCCGTTACCATGGTCGCCACCGTAGCCAGGAATAGCGGGGCCGCCGGGGACTGGGGGCCGTCTGTTTGTGTATTTATTCATTGGGGGGTATTTGCCATAGTTGCCACGCTTGGCGAGCGGGTTGGCAACCGCAGTTTTTTATTACGTCACAGTTGTTATCAGGAAGATGCTGCTGCCCATCTCCTGCCTGTCTCCCTCTGTCGCCTTTTACGACACCCACGGGAAGATATGGGGTAGTGGATATTCTCAACCGCCACTACACGGCAACAATCGTACTTTTGTTATAATAGCAGACATATTTTTGTCCCAGGTTTAAATGTAACTTACAAAATTTTATTGATAAAATTACATTTCACGTTCTTTTTATATATGGGAAAAAAATTGTTTTTCCAGAAGGTTCATAATAAGATCTGGCTATTAATTAAAGTATGGTTTCAGTGTCAAAACTATCAAGGTCATTATTATTACCTAATTTTAAGTTTAGAATTCAGAAGTCTCATATGAAATTTATACACATATTACTTATTAAATATGACTAAATATCGGGGTAGAAAATATGTCATATTATATAAAAGTACCCGGATGACCGAGCTTTGCTCGGTTTATTTAAGTTGCATTTATATACAAATTACATGAATAATAGTTTTTGATCTTATTGACATAATAGAAAAAACTGAATTGGTTATTTGAATAAAAAATCATGAGTGCAATTAGTTTAATTAAAATTTTCGTATTTTTAAAAAATACTGAAAAAAGGGCTCGAAATAATAGATTTTCTCACAAAAGAAGGGAACTTGAAAAAAAAAGGAAAAAAAGTCGGATCCAAGACGGGACACGAACCACGGAACTCCGATATCACGCCCGAACAACATCTGAGCTATTACGATCGTTGGTAACCTGTCAAAATTTACCTTCTTATATTGTAGCAGTTTTTTCGTTGCCTGAAAACACGGACAAAAAGACATTTTCTAAAAATAAACCCTAGCTTGATCGATTTATTGCCCCCGAAACTCCCTGGACACTAAATTTTATGGAGGAGCCGTTTCCGAGATCCCGATTATATATATATATATATAAGAATTGCTCGTTTAAAGGTATAGGATTTTGAAGTTAAAAGCAATACACCGAGTATTGCTTTCTTAAAAATTTCATATAAAAAAAGTAAAACAAAAATTTTGTAATTGGCTATAATAAATACTGTATATATTACAAGTATCTATATAATAAATATTCTATTCTTCATTCATCAATAATTGTAACAAAATTTGAAACTTTATTAATCCCAGAATCTTTATATTTAAACACGTGTCATAAATATCCTTACTTATGAAAGTATATTATTTAAATGTAATGAGTAAAGATAAGTTATTATGGATCGATCATTAGCGTAGTTGCAAATTCACCTTTTAAAGGTCGACGCTATTAACTTTGACATTAACCGAAAGTGAGCACACAATAATCTCAGTCATAAAGTTGATGTTATATAGGTGTAAGTAATTTTTTAGGGAACGTCTATCACTGATATTTGAAGTTGATAAAATTAAGACAATTTTCAGACTAATTCGTAGTTTTTTATAATCTATAAATTTTTGAGATATCGATAAATTAAATGGTCTTTAATGGATATCATTAAAAAATCCAAGCGAAGCCGGGGTGCATCGCTTTAATCAAATAAAACTCGATAACAGTGTAGTAGTAATTTGTAGGTAATGATAGATATAAAAAAATTACTGACTTTTTTTAAATTAAAAAAAAACTTTAATCGTAATAGGATATCTAGAAAGCTTAATTTTTGAAGCCGACCTGTACTCTGAGATCTTCTGAAGAACCCCTTGCATCCCTCGCAGGTGATCACGCCATAGTGGACACCCGACGACTTGTCTCCGCACACCTTGCATGGTATGATCTCAATTTGAGCTGCAACAATAAAAAAATTCATTTAAGAATATATAACTTATGTAAACAAACCTTAAAACACCTTTGTTAAATATAAATTCAAGTCACTTAGAATGACTTAGGCAGATAAATAATGTATTCTAATTATTTTTGCAATGTGGAAGTTAAGAATACGGAGTTTTCAATTTTCTTCAATTATTAAACTGTTAAAAAACAAAATATATACATTATTACAAAACATATACAAATATGTACATTTAAAATTTATCGAATAAGCCTTTCAGATTAACAATTAATATAATATTAAATTAATATTATCTTTATTATTTTAATATTATTACATATTATTAATATAATTAAGATAATATCATGACGAATAAACATTATTATCAAATTAGTAGACATTCAGAGAGAGAGAGTTTTCATTTTGAGCGCCATTTTTGGTGTTAGGGTCAACGACACTGTGGCAAGGTCGGAGCGCGGCCGATGACTGTCTTTAAATGTGTGCATTTGTATCCTTTCCGCAGAAGCACTGGTCCATAAACGATATGCAGGCTATTTTAATTGCTATTTCCGTCCAATAAAACTTTAAATAGCTTGTAGAGTTTTGACAGATGGGATTGCATAGCATGCATCACTCTACTAGCCCTTTGTGATCTCGTTAATGACTTACAACTCTATTTTACGGCGCCTCTACACGTCTGCCAACACAGTGGCGAATGTAGTGGCCAATAGCATTGGCCAACGTGTAGACGGAGTGTTTGTGCTTCATTGGTATGTATTGGAACGATGGCCCGCAAGTTGACGCGAGATCCGTGTGGTGTCGGTTTTTTACAAAAGATCAAAGGATTGTTGGCAGAGTTTGGTCGTCGCGTCCACACGTTGGCCGCGAGTTTAGTTTGCTACAAGCTTCTAGAGTGATTACACGCATCTGATTAAAATTTTATATTCACGCTTTGTAGGGTGGATGACCCAATTACCAGCCTTTTAGTGCCAATTTCAACTTTAAACATCCTACTACTTTAATTAGCGCGATTTAATTATTTTTAAACATTTGTTTTAATCGATAAGCTATTTATAAAAAAAAATAATGAACATTTATTTACAATCAGATTATTACGAGAACAATTTTAAAATGAAAAAAAAATGAAGCACGTCGTTTATACGTGGTAGAACCATGCAGTTATATTAGAAGTATAGTTGTAGGTTGTAGCACGAATGGGTCGGTTCGACCGGGGAAGGACCACGCTCTCACAGAATATCAATGTAAATATGCAAAATAGTAGCTTAATGATGCTGTGTTTCGTATAGTGAGTGTAGAGAAGCAGAGACACTTTTTAAAGGAAACGAGGCATTTCATCTTAGTCCTCACGGGTGACAACGCATCTGCATTTTGATTCGTAATCGAGGATAGATATAGATGTCTATGGGCCACAGCAACCACTTACCATCAGGTGAACTGTGTGCTCGTTTGTCACCCTATCCTATATAAAAAGCGTCGATTTCTTATAATTTAATCGTGCAAGTTTTCGAATCATCATCATCATTACAGCTCTTCACAAGTCCACTACTGAACATCCTCCTCCAAAGAATGCCGCAAAGCATGGTCCTGAGCCACTTTCCTTGTCATGAGTTTTTCATTTATGTTCTAAGTAATAATTAGTACCTATTATTAAGTCAGTGTTAATTATATTTATTGCTATTGTTTTTGTCTTTCTCAAAAAATAATTAAATTACCAAATAAATTATAAGGTGTTTTTTATATACATCAAATGTCTGATAGAAAAGCAAGTACATGTTTTGCTAAACTTTAAAAACAAAACCCAATTTTAAAACATAGACTAATCTATTATAACTCTTTTAACTTTAAAATAAGTTAAGTTGTAATTAATGGTATTTATTCCAGTTTCTGATGCATGTAAAGAATAAATAAAGCTAATCGTATATCGTATATCTATTTACAGCCCCATTAATATTCACTATTCTTTTATAATTATTTTATAAAAACGTTACCCCCCACATTTGGATTTTCTCCTGTATCGCGGAGGCAACTTACAAACATAAATTGCACAAGGACACACATCAAGACCCGAAACAATTATTTACATAAATACTTGTCCCACCACCCCACGCACTCAAGATTAAAATAGACCTTTTATAAAAGAACTCAGGGTAAGTAAAGCAACTGTTGCTTGAAAGTATATTTTATGTCATAGAATTAAGAGTCAATATCACGTGTATCTGCTTGTTCATACTCTTGCAACACGTGGTACAAAATAATTGATGTTTCCAAGCCTTTTTGGTGTGTGCTTTGATAAGTTAGTGTGCTTGCTGTATAGGCACCGACTTATTCTAACTCCTGTCCAACAATCATAGAAAGGTATCAAAATTAATTTAGAAGACATTTTAAATTTGGAATAGACAGGACATTACTTCAAACTTAAATTATTAATTGAAAAATAAAGCATCTCGGAAGTTTTTTATTAGAGTTGTTTTTATTAGTCCATTAATGATATTACCATTAATGATAGTAATGAAAAACAGACGTGATCTGAGACCTTTTCAAATTAAATGAAAATTAGTTACTATTACCACAGAATAAATAATCTATTACTAACACTTTCTGAAATAAGAAGTACCTATATTGAACGTATATTGGGTAGCTTAAGTAAAAGCATACTGCAAACAATTAAAATAATATTCAACATCTGAGTAGCACCTATAATATGGTCCATTATATTATTACATCCTATACACGAATATATATGTTATCATATATCGACGATTTACAACTAAAATCATCAATGCAATTAATAATATACTTTAAATTATCTTAATTCGTATAACCAGATCATATTATGCGCATGAGCTATTAAGATGCAATCAGAAGCTAATGGAAAGTGCAATAAAACACAGGTTTAATGTTCCAGCCACGTGTAAAGTTAATATCCTCGATTTAAGTTTTGATCAGCGACATCTACTGGTTGCTAATTGTAAAAACTTGATTAGTTTATGAAAATGGACATAGTTTCTCATTTCACACTAACCGATATTATTACCTCCATTCAGGATAGAGCCACGCCGCAACAATATATGGTTGTAGCACGAATGGGTCGGCTCGACTGGGGAAGACACACCGGCGTAGACCACGTACGGCGAGAGTGTAGAGAACTGGAGAACCTTTTTATCGGAAACGAGGCATTCTATCTTAGTTTTCAGAGTTAATACCGCATTTGCATTTTCTTTCTCAACTAAGAATAGAAGTAGATATCTATGGGCCACAGCACTTACCATGATAGACTGTGTGCCTGTTTATCAACTTTATGCTATAAAATAAAAACTTCTTAAATACAAAACGCTACGTTAATTATTTTATAGTTTTATTTCCTTTACGATATACTATATTATTATAGGGCATTTACTTTACGTGACTGACTTATTAATCCTGAGTTCTTATTTTTTGTTTTAATTCTATTTCAAAATATACATAAAAAAACCACAGCAAAACAGCCCATGGTTAACTATTTTAATAATGAACGAATTAAACAATGAATTAAAAAGTGTAACTAATTAGGCACCATCCTATTTCAAAAGCTCTGAAAGAATGGCATTCAAAAGCGTTCTCCATTACATAACAATGGCGTTTGTTTTGATGGCTGCACGTTGTCTGGCAGTTGCGAAATTACATTGTCGGGGGTTTGGCAACGTCCACAACTTACTAGCGAAACTATTCATGAAAACTTCAGAATAACGCCTCATGCATTTAAAGGAATATTTAAAATTTATAATACAAAATGATATTTATAAACTCTTGTCTTTTGCACTTTTGTCTATTTTTAAATGATGCATAGGTTGCCAGTCATAATATAAAATAAGCAGTAGCAAAAATATAGGATTCTAAAAGTGTATTTGTACATCTTTACACATTACAAAATTGTCATCATCAGTAATATTACCGCCCTCCAGAAATTCTTTGCTGTACATAACCTCAGGAACATGCCTGCCACAAAACACGTTCCTTCACATTTATCGACTTCCTGCATACCAGGTTGTCACTGCGTATAATAGTAGTTTCCGTATATAAAGCAATAAGTTTCAAGAACGTGTAAAAATATTTGTTTTGACAAATTGACACAAAATTTATGTAAGACGTAAACATGAAACCAATTCAGTTTTTTCTTGTTTCAGATATGTTTGAAGGTAAGTTTTTTTTGTTTTTGTAGCTGGCAACTATAATTATTTCATCATTATTAGAGATCCATCTACTGCTGAACATAAACAGCCTCACAGAGGGAATAATTGCGATTTTTGCTACGCTTGGGAGGCGTATAAGCAACATCATCATCATTGCCCATTTCGTGGTATGATTCCCTTTGTCGCCTCTTACGACACCCACGGCACGGGACGATATGAGGTAATGGATACTGTTTTTTTTTTTTAATTTTATAATAATATAATTAATTACGTGAATTGTAAATGTATTTATTTAAAAAAAAATCCCATTGAGTTTCTTGCTGTTTCTTCCCAGGACAGAGGTTTTGTCCGAACCAGTGTGAAAAGTAAAATGACTTTCAATAAGATATAAATTTTGTAGTCTATAAGTATTGAATAAAAATGATTCTATTCTATTCTATTCTTCTCTAAAACTTCATACGTGAATGGATGAACAAGCATCATCAGTTATTTGGTAACCCTGTGTTTGCTGCTAACGAAAAATTTAAAATTCCCTTCATTTTTGAATTAAAGTTTCGTCACTGCATTAATGCTGCCCAGGCGGCATAAACGTTGAAGGGCCTTCGCATGGAAGGCCGCCAAAGCAAGTCCCATTTGCAAATTCAGTCAAAAGAAGCTGCTTCCTTTATGACTTATCTGTGACTTCATTTTTTATTACAGCTTCTTGTGATCTGAACGATGAGGGAATATCTATATAATCTGAACGATGAAGGAAAATATTATAATCTTCCATCCACCAGATGTCACGAGTTGACTGTGAGACTTTTTTGTTACACAATGTCATTTAA